CTCTGGAAGTTCCCTGTCAATGTATGCTTGCAGCCATTTCTGTATTACTGTTAGTAAAACTTTATTCACTTGGGATCTCAAAGATATCGTCCGATGATTTCCACATTCCATTTGGTCACTTCTCTTTGGAATGGGCACAAATATGAATCTCTTCCAATCAGTTGGCCAGATAGTTGTCTTCCAAATTTCTTGGCAGAGATGAGTTGAGTGCCTGGGCCGCCTCACTTTCTTGAAAGATTTCAATTTATATTCCATCAATTCCTGGTGCCTTGTTCTTTGCCAATTCCTTCAATGCACCTTGGACTTCTTCAATCCACAGAAGGAAACAATCCATAGAAGGTACCTAATAGGACATCATTCTTTTGAGTTCCTTATCAAGTAGTCTCAGAAACATTTTCTGGCTAAGTATTTTCGTCACTTGTTGAATTCACTCTGTCTTGTATCTTTATGTGAACTGAAATTGGCTATTGTCCCTGAGATATGGTGGTATTATTCTCATGGTATTTAATTGACGATTGTATCATTGGTGAGTTCTTAAGCACTCACCATCTGTCTCCTGGTGAGTGTGATAAAGACTCGAAATATGTATGCAGTTCTGTGATTGCTGTTGGGGTAGTACAGTTGAGGGCAGGTTTGACTGGAGTTGGCTGCTGTCTATCACTGATCAGGTGGTAAAGGAGTAGGTAGTGGCCCTCACCCATTGGGTGGGGCTCCAGAAGGTGCAGGTGAGGCAGGGCTGTATGGGCACAGTTGTTCTCTCACATCGGTGGCACAAGAAAAAAAAAGAGAGAAATAAAATGAAAACAAATAACAACAAAAACAAACCAAAGGAAAAAACACAACAGAAACAAACAAGAATTAAAAAAAGGAAAAGATAATAAAAATGAGAAAATAAAAAAGCACAATAAATATAATTGTTGTTAAGTGCCATCTAGTTGGTGCTAATAGCGGCCCTGTGTAGGGTTTCTGAGGAGCAGCTGGTGGGTTTGAACTGCCACCCTTGTGGTTCACAGTCCAGTGCTGATATAGTGCTACACCAGGAGTCCACAAACAAACTTAGAAAAAAATAGGGAGGGGGAATAAAGAAAAGAAAGAAAACTTTAAATCAGAGAAAGAAAAGATAATAAATAAGGGAAGGGAGAGAAAAGGAAAAAAAGAAAGGAGAAAACTGGGGCAGAGCAGGACCAGAGAGGAGAAAACTTGGGGTTAGGGCATCTAGTAAGAGTTGGCACCCTTGCTAGCCAAGGAGCTCACAGGGTAGATTAGGGAGGAAGTGGGACACCCAGTTTCAGATGGAGTTCCTGGTGGCCTACATGTTGTGTGGGGTCAGAGTGTCTGAATTAGTAGTAGTTTTGCCAACTCAGAGGGTGGCTGAGGTCAGAGTCCTTGTTCTCAGAAGGCACTCTTTGGGGCCCATAGGGCAGATGAGGGCAGGGCAGTTGGTTATGGAAGGGGTCCTGCTTTGCTCAGGAGTGACCATGGACCTGGCATTGAGGTGGAGGTCATGTGCCTCCAGATGAAGGGTGCTACACCAGGAGCCTGATCCAGATCCCACCTTAGGCAGGTGGGCGTGTCACTGGGTGAGGGTGGGGCTGACCGTGCTTCTAGTCACCAGGAGGGTGCGGGGAACAAGAGAGAACCTCACCTTTCTCATCGCCAGCCACTGGTATGCATTTGTGTTATCAGGCTGCTGTCTCAATCAGATGCTGCTTGACAAAGCTCACTGTGGCCCTGCCGTGTCAGGTCAGCTGACAGTTTTCTGTCTGTCTCCTCTCTCATTGTTTTTGCCCAACTTCTTCTAGAGTTAACATCTCTAGCGTTTCCTATGAAGGTCAGCGTTCCAGGATTGTTATCCATATCTCTTTTCATTTGATCTCTTGTGTCATCTTTGTAGAGGGTCTGAGTAGGGTGTCTGCCTAATCCACCATCTTGCCACAAATCAACATCTTTCACCCACTGAGCAGCTTGTGGGTTTGAGCCACTGACTTTTCTGTGAGATAGCTCTGGTGCAGTAGCAAGAATGTTGGGTTTATAGTCCTTGGGTTTAGACCTTGCTTTCATATAAGCTAACTCTATGATCCCAGTTTCCTCTTTTGCCAAAGCGGACAGAACCCACTGACTCATGTCATGGATGCTTTGGGAAATACTGGAATTTGCGAAAATGCCATCTAAGAGTGGTAGAGGACTCTGGGGCACCTAGTTCTACATCCCTATGTAAGAGATGAGGACAATGGACGAGAGGGGACGTGACCTGAGATCATGCAGTGAGTGATGGTAGGTTCTTGGACCCCTGCTTTGTGGTCTCACCTGAAATGATGTACAAGATCCCCTGTGAGCTCTGCCTGGGCTAGCTCCCCTTTGCACAGAGTGAGCCTCGGGGACAAATTGGGGTGAGAAGAGGTTTTCTGCCCTTTCATTCTCTGTTCCTCCCAGTACCCAGCTTCAGGTATCCTAAGGGTGGGAAATGAGGTGCTTTCTCTTACCAGCCCCTGACTCCTTTCTGCACAGGGCACCTCCTCTGAATTTGAAGTGGTTCCCACTGAGGAGCAGAATTCCCCACCAGAGAGTGGTGGCTGCACCAGGAACACGATGGTGAGTGGATGGACAGGGCTTCAGTTCCTTCTTACCTGTTTCTTTGGTTTCCATCCCTATTCCTGTGTGAGAGGCTCAGGGCCCATTCAGATACCTCAGGGACCCCAGGGTCATCTGGAAGCATTGGAGGAGCTGGAGATGGGTGTGCTTTTTGCTCACATATGCAAATGTCTTAAGTTGGTGACTTCCTGGACTCTGGCCACAGGGACACCCAGCCATTGTGAAAGCCTGGGCTTTTCTTGAGGTCTGTCAGCTTCTGCTGAGCACTGGATACCTCACACACTCTCTGATTCAGCACTGTGGGTTGCCAGGCTTCTTTATCCCAGCTACAGTGTCTTTCTGCTCCTAGATCTTAAAGCAGCCAGCTTATTGGAGAATCCTTCTAAGGTCTTAAAGTCTGCCTTTTCCGCCTCCTCCTTCCCATCTTTGAGATAGTTTGTTGTTGTCAGTCACGCAGTACATGCTCGAATGCTTTTCTGGTCATTGGACTCACACTGCCTCAAACAATTTTGGTGGCAAACGTTGCTCTTTTACTCACTGATTGCTTCTTGAAGCTGTGAACCCCCAGGGCAGTAGCCTCATCACGTAGTTGTCCATCTTATACTGGCATGCCTCCACCTCACCAGACGGTTCAGAGTATTAGAAAGGGTTTCTGTCTGTCTCCTGAGATCTTCTGTCCCTGAGGGCTCTGCGAAGGTGGCTGAGGAGGCGGGAACCCTTGTGAGAAAATGTTCTCTCTATGGCCTTGGACTTGTGACTTTATCTGGTTAGTGTGTCCCCTGCTTATCCTCTGCAATGTGCCTAGCCTGGCTGAGCTAAGAGAAGACAGCATTCCGGAGCCTGCAAACAAGTGGGAGAAATCAGATGCGTGAAACAATTCATGAGTCTTATATGTGTCAGCACTGGCCACCTCAACACCTGGGACAGAATGCCTAATTGAATAAGTAGCATTATTCCCTGACAGAACAAGGTGCAAACAAGATTAAGAAGGTCCTGCCTAGCTAAATGCCAAGTCGTGGTCAGAGGTCATTTCCATTGTGACAGCTGGAGGTCAGTGTGGCAGGGTCAGGAAACCTGTGCTCTAGCCGCTAGGTCTGCCTCTGATTCATGGGTGACTTTGGGCAAGTTCTTTCTTCTTATACTTTGGTTTTCCAGCCTGAGCCAACACGAGTCTCCCTGTACCTCTGATGTCCTTAGAGTCTCATAAATGTTTAGGAAAGGGCCCCTGTGGGAGGTGAAATGTGCATAGGACCCTGGAGGACAAGCAGGGTTTGCTCAAGCAGAGGGGACTCTGAGAAGGCTTGGGGAGGAAGAGGGGGATGCCTAGCCAGATGCCTTCTCAGGTGGGACCAAGTATTATTGTGCTTCAGACACCAGGCAGAGACCTGGACTTGCCACAATCAGCAGTGAGGTGCCCCATGGGTCCTAGGGCACAGTGTTGGCATAACAAGAGCAGTGCTCTTGTTTGTTAATATCTAGAGCTGTGATTCTTAACCTATTTTGAGTCTCAGGCCTTCTGAGAAGCTGACAAATGCTTGGGCTGTTCCCCCCAGAAGACACCCACTTACATGTAAAATTCAGACAGACCATTTTGGTCCCTGTGTGGCTTTCTGATGAAGACTTCCTGAGCTCAAGTAGTGCTACATATCTATATAGTGTTACACCGGTTCTGGGCCTGTGCTCCTTCATCTCCATAAGGACCCTGTGAGGTGGCATGTTCATGCAATAGTTGACAGCACTGAGGCCCAGAGATGAGTGACTTACCCACAGACCCTGAGTGAGGCCCAGAGCCTGGGATGATGGTGGCTTCCATGGCGACTAAGCCAGTCAGTGGCCTGGGAGCTCTGGTTCCTGCCCTGTGAGTCAGCCCCAGACAGGGAACCTGTGTAACTGGAGAATTTCCCTTGGCTGAGCTGGGCCCCGAGGGGGAAACTGAGTCATGAGGAATGGGGAAGCAGAGAGAGAATGAGCTGGCAGTGCCTTCCCAGGCCTGGGTGAAGAGTAACTGGTGCCCCCCTCTCCACAAGCAGGAGCTGGGCCCTCTGCCTCATGAGGACAGCAACCTGATGCTGCATCTGCAGCGGCTGGAGACCACACTTAGTGTGTGCGCCGAGGAGCCGGACCACAGCCAGCTCTTCACCCACCTGGGCCGCATGGCCCTTGAGTTCAACCGGCTGGCCTCCAAGGTGCACAAGAATGAGCAGCGCACCTCCATCCTGCAGGTGAGGCAGGAGCAGGGGACGGTTGTTGGGAGAGGCTTTTGTGGGGAATCCAGAGGGAGCCATGGGGACTTCTGAGGGTGATGTTGTGGGCGGATTTTGGGTTTCTTGCTCAGGATGGTGAACAGGGTAAGGAAGTAGTGGGCAGGAAGAGGAAGAGGTAATGATTGGGAAATGGGGAGAGGGCGATCCAAATGTCATGTTGGGGATACTTTCAGGACTCAGTGATGTGGGCCTACGAGAGCAGTGCACCTCCCTTTGTCCTCCACTGAAGGCAGGGAAAAGAAAGGGACAGGGGTCAGCTCCTTACAGTTCCTACCTCTGACCCCCGAGGTGGAAACTGCCATTATCTTCAGTTCATAGGTTGACAAGGCCATTCAGCTAATCAATAGTGGTCTGGGATTCGAACATAGATCTTAACCATCATTCCATCCTACCTCCGCAATAAAATTTTCTTCCAAAAACTCTATATCATTGGAATAAAGTCAGATTTTCTTTTTAGGCCAGACAAGACCTTGAAATTGTATGGTTTGGGCTCCAGTAGTGACTTTATTGCTGTATGATCTTGAACCAGTCATTTAACGCCTCTGTCTCTCACTTTCCTTACCAGTAACATGGAACTAGGAATACCTTGCTTATGGGATTGCAGTGAGTGTTAAATGAGGCAGCATGCATGAAGTACTGAGTACAGTGCCTAGAACATAGTAAGAGCTTGAAAAGTGGTCACCTCTTAGTCTTGAGGACTTTGGGGACGGAAGGATTCGCTTATCATTAGTGGCCATTCTGCAAGTGGAGAAACTGAGGCTCAGGATCTGGACACAGTCCCTTGTTATAATTATATTGAAGTCTCCTTATTCCCCCTTAAGCCCTCTCTGTATGCCAGTCACAGGTGTGTGGCCTCATTGTGCCAGCACACATTGAAGGGGCACTGGTGGTAAAGAAGTCTACCGAGTGTGCTTGTGGGAAGGACTTGGTTGACAACAGCATGTAGGTGGGAGACATGGTATGAGGGGGGATATGGGGAATAGGCACAGAGGGTCTGGAGAGCATGGTGCTCTCCAGGTGGGATGGGACCTTTGGGAGGAAAGGTTGGAGCAGGGCCAGCCCGAGGGGGGAGAACTTCCTTCCGGAAGCTGTCAGCGGGCCTTGAAGATGTGAAAGCTGAGCATTAGGAAGGTGCACCGGGTGCAGTTCCTGGTGTGTGATTGATCACTGCTGAGCATCCGTTTTTCGGTTGTGAAATGAGGAGAGGTAATCAGCCTTTGTGAAAGGCATCCCACCAATTTCTGTTATTTTTATGCCAGGTCCCATTTGTTTTAATGTTAGGTAGTTTATTTACTTGTTTCCCCCCTTGTGCTTTTCTGCCAGAATAGAATGAGAGCTTCATGAGCAGGGCAGGCACCTTGTCTACCTTATTTACCACTGCATCCTAGTACCTGGTGCTTAGTAGGTGCTCAGTACACATTTGGCAAATGAATGAATGATGAAATGAGTGAGCACATGCACTCACAGGTGAGCTTCAGTAGTCCTTCTGATGGAAAGAGTTGGTGATCTTGGTGACATCTGAAGACCTCTAGCAGTTGGCTAACTTGTGCCCAAACCACTTAACCCAGAGTGTCTGAGGAAACAGCCTAGAAGGGCAGGACAGAAGGTGAGGCCTCACCCAGGCCTTCCCTCACTGACCAGGAACGAGGCATTCTGTACCCTGGAGTTCCCACTCAGGGCCTTGGTTTCCTGGGTATATATCCAGGCTATAGATGGACATAAACTAATCCTTTTCCCCTCTTCATTCATTCATTGGTTTGCTTCTTGGTTCATTCAACAAGCATTTATCAAGGCCAGGTATGGTGTAAGAGCCTCTGCGTGGCCTGAGGGGACCAACAACAATAGTACCTCATGTGTGTTTTCTCAGCCTGGGTTCCCTCATCTCCAACCAACCCTCCAGTTCAAGGCTGTCTCAGTCAGCATTCCCAAGTCTCCCCTGCGTTAGCCAGTAAGAGCTAGGTTTTGCTGTGGAAACAAATAGAGCTGAAATCTCACCATGTAACATACTAAAAGTGTGCTACTTCATATTCTAAGTTGGCAGGTATTTGCTTCTGCTCCAGTTTCTTAGGGACCCAGACTGATAGAGGCCTCACCATCTTGTACCCTTTGGAATATGAGATGTCTGTTTTAGCCACAGCATTGAACATACACCCCCCAAAACAGTTGCCATCAAGTTGATTTCACTTTATGGCAATCCCACGTGACTTTTCAGAAAGGGGCCCTGGAGACACAGTGGATGAGCATTCTGCTGCTCACCAAAAGATCAGCAGTTTGATCCCACCAGCCACTCTGAGGATTCATGAATCTGTGTCAGAATCAACTAGACAACAATGTTTGTTTGTTTTCTGGTTGGAACTTTTTGAAGCAGATCACCAGGCATTTCTTCTGAAATGCCTCTGGATGGGTTCAAACCATCAACCTTTCTGTTAATAGTTGAGTGTTTAACTGTTTGCACACCACCCAAGGACTCCTAGAATTGTGCATGTTGTTGTTGTTATATGCCGTGGAGTCGGTAGGCTAACTCAAAATGGTCACTTGTTAAATTTATCATTGATTGACTGGAACGAGTCATGTGATCACTTGCTATCTGCAAGGAATCTGGGAAGTAGAAGGAAGCAGAGGCAGTGTTTAGTGAATTCCACTGGCTCTGTTCCCACACCCACTCCTTCATAGACTCCCCGATCTCTCCCTTCTCAGGTCTGCCATCACTGAGGAGACACCAGTTCTGCCAGATGGATTTTACTCCTGGTTTGGATTCTTAACTATGTGACTTCATGCATTTTTTTTTTTTTTCCATACATTTTCCTCCCTTTAAAATAGAGATAAATGAATTCGCTTTGCAGAGGTTCTGAGGCTCCAATGAGCCAGCGCTGGGAAAGCACCTAGCCAGGGACCTGGCACATGTTTCATGCGCAATAAGCATTTGTTGAAAGATAAATAACAGTACTGATGACCTCACCATAATGCCATTAGTGCCTCACCTTTCCCACTCATCTGGGACGTCCACCTCGCAACACTTCTCACAGAAGTCCTCAGACAGGCTCCAGTGACTGACAGGTCTCCAGGACAGTCCCTCTCCTGGTCTAATTTAACCCTCATGGTAACCCTGTGAGGGGGCAGAGAAGGAATAATTGTCCCATGTTGTAGAGGAGGGAACTGAGCCTCAGAAATAAAGCCTGAGCCACACAGTGAGGAATTGGGGAGGTCTCCACCCAATACCCTTCCTCCTAACATTTCACCTGACAACACGTGAAGCCTCCACACTCTACAAATAGACTCACCTTGTAGACCTCCTAGGACTCGCTTATTGTTCGTTCAGTCATGTGCTTCTTTAGCAAAGTCCAGAGCTGAGCTTCTATGAGCTCCTGTGCTAGGGCTGGGGACCCTGTGGAAGAGGGGATGGGATCGGGTAACCCATAGCCCTCTGGGTGCTCACAGACTAGAAAGATGTGAGGGGCTCAAACATGAAGAAAATCATGACACAGTTATATGGCTCTAATTGTGTCAAGCACCAAGAAGGGCGGGCGCTAAGAGTGAGGAGGACAGAGATGACCTAACTTAGCAGAGATATGGGGGTCAGGGAAGATTTTTCTGAGAAGATAGCATTTCAGCTATTACTGAGTGAGTAGAAGTCAGCCATGGGAAGGCTGGAGAGAAGAAAATTCTAGATAGTGGGAACAGCCCTGTGAGGGAATGGCAAACTCTTAATTTGGAGGAAGAGGACCTTGTGGCAGATTCTTGCCCATGCACCCTCATAGCTAGTCCCCAAGGGAGAGGATGTGTCGAGGAGCCTGGAGAGTCTATTGACTTGGCTTCCAGCATCCCCCAAAGGGGTGGTCAGGGGATCAAAGTTGGAACTTGTGGTGGCTACAGCCCCTCTCCTGTCTTCCAGTATCTACCACATTTGAGATGTACCTCCACCCTTACTCCTATCTACCTGTCTGTCCTGCAGACCCTGTGTGAGCAGCTTCGGAAGGAGAATGAGGTCCTGAAGGCCAAGCTGGACAAGGGCCTGGAACAAAGGGATCAGGCTGCTGAGAGGCTTCGGTAAATCCAGGCCTCAGGAGTGGGGATGACGGAAGGAGAAGGAGGCATGGTACACAGTGCTGAGTTCTGGGAGCACAAGCCTAGATGAGAGCTGAGAGCTCTGACGGGTTGGGCCAGAGCCCTGCTGGATACCAGGCATCTTGGTTCTTTCTCCTTGGGTCTTGGTATTTCCTCTCTGTGAACTGGACAGAGTAAACTCTTAGAAACTTAGAGTGTGTCTGTAAAGTGCTTTGAGAGCTTCAGAAGAAAGTCTGCAAATTGGACTACTTTCAAAACTAGCTCCCATAGCCTGTTAATAGTTTTCCAACTGGCTGCTTGAAATAGGGCTTAGAACTTTGCTGCCCCCTGCTGGTCACCATTCTCTTCTGCACTGTCTTCCTGGGAACAGTTTGGGCTCCCTTATCAAGGATCTCTGGTAGCTTCGTCGGGCTGTGAGCTTCAAGGTCAGCAGTTCGAAACTACCAGCTGTTCTGCAGGAGGTTTTCTGTTCCCATTAATATTTATAGGCTCGGAAACCCTGTACAGGGTCACTGATAGTCAGAACTGACTCCAGGCACATAACCATAACCACCATCTGGGCTGCAGGGTCTCGAACTCAGTTGTGCGTGTTGGGGCACGAGAATTTCTCATATCTGCCCCTCCCTTCACTGTCAAGCTCCACTCTCAAGATTCTGATTCAGTAGGTCTGAGGTAAGACCTAGGAGTCTATCCTTTTCTTTAGCCTCTGCTTTTCTGATGTAGATGGGCACAGGACCACACCTTGGTCTTGGCTATCAGTGCTCAAGGGGCTGTTGAAGATCCTATAGGCCAAACCCCTCATTGTGCAGAAGGGAGACTAAGGCCTAGAGAGGGATAGAGACTGGCTTCAGGTCTCACAATGAGAGCCTGGTTTCCTAGAGGGGCCATAATCCCTGCCTGCACTTTGATAATGGATGATCGAAGTGATGGCATGTCTCTTGGGTACCAGCTGAACTCAGGTACATGCAGAAGACATCTGGGTTAAAGCCAGGATTCACCACTCCAGGGTTTTTTCTTTCTCTTGCTTATTAGAATCAGCAGAAGAGAGAAGGAATAATAATAATATATCTGAAGTTGGGCCACAGTAATAGTTAACAACCTGAGCCCCTGTGCCATTTTGAGTCAGCATGTGCTTATGTATTTTTGCATGGCCAAGAAGTTGGGGGTTTTATAGCCATAATGACTCAATCCCTGGATCCAAAAGCCCCAGACTGGAGGAAAGGCCCATGGATTGTAAGGCAAGAGGACAAGTCCCCATTGTGTGAGCTAGGAAAAGCTACTTTACTGTTTCCATTACTCAGGGGAAACCCAACTGACAAACACAACCTAAAGTAATGGTTTCCATATTTCAGTCAGACCTGAATTCACTTCACCACTTTCATTATGCCCTGTGTCACCTACCTTTTTCTCTTCAGATTTTACTTTAATTTGATTCATGTTTTTACTTAAAACTATTATAAAGGCAAGTTTCACTAAACAGAAAACAGCACCATCTATAATAAATAGATGATAACTCTTGAAATTAATACAACAAAAAACCAAAACCACGTAATCAATAGTTCTGGCTAAGAAAGATTGCCCATAGTTGGGGAAACCCTTCTGTTTAGGATCAGAGACCTCTAGGAAATCCCACAGGTTTCCAGTAAGGCAGCCTAAAGATGCCTTTTTAGTCCTACCTGAGACAAGTTTCAAGAGTTTCCTGAATCCTGAGGACTTAGATATAACTCTTATATGTAGTGTGTCTGAGGCCCCATAGCTGCCCTAACCCAGGGCCAACATTGTGACTTCTCCATTTGTCTCCAACCCAGAGAGGAAAATATGGAGCTCAAGAAGTTGTTGACGAGCAGCAGCTGCAAAGAGGGTGTCTCCGGACAGCCAGACTCCCCAAAGATGGAAGACACACCGAAGAAGGTGGTGGCTGGCCAGCAACAGGTATGCGATCAGGAATTCTTTCTCTAGCATCCTTGATGCTGGTCCCCAGGCTCTTGTTTGCTCACTGTGGGACAGTTCTAGTTGTTAGCTGGATTTGCCTTATCTTGGCCTGACATCTCCCTCCCTGGAGCTTCCACTCCTCAGCTCTTACTCTGCCTTCAGCCCCATGGAGCGTTCCATTCCCTGGCACCCACACTCAGACGCCACTAACAACGACTGTGCCTCCTTGTCTCCAGACTGAACAGCTCCTGTTCCTTCAGTCATTGCTCAGAGACAGTGGCACAGTGTCATTTGCTCAGCCTGAACACATTCTCTGAACACATTCCAGGACTCTTAAAAGGTAGCTCCCCAAATACCGTTCAGTATCTCCGAGATTTCTGGCAGTTAGTGTGGTACGTAGAAGTGCCTTGGGGGATCTGCTAGGCTTGTGTGATTCCAACCACTCACCTCCCAGCCCCTTCATTGCCTCCAAGAGTCTCTGAAATGCAGAAAGGAATGGCTGAGCAGACATCAGCATGACTTTTTCCTACTGCTCATCCATTTTCCCGCACACACCTACTCCCCAAGCCTTACTCTGCATCCATCCCATCCCATCACATCACTGTCACTGTTCTTTACCTTTTCCCTGGCCTCAGAGCTGAGTCGCAACCCCTTACAAACAGGCCTTTTTCCCTTATCGGGGTACAGTGACTGCACAGTAGGGCTCATTGTCTTTCAACTAGGACTTCTAACTACTTCATTCTGGCTCGACCCCCTGGTGAGAATTTGCCTTCTAGTATGGTGCTGTAGGATCAGCACTGGGCTGCAAACCATAAGGTTGGTAGTTCAAACCTACCAGTTGCTCCTCAGAAACCCTGTACAAGGTCGCTATGAGTCAAAACCAATTCGACAGCACTTCCCGACAACAACAACCCCAGATATACTGAAGCAGAATCTATAGTCTAACAAGATCCCAAGGTGATTCTCATGCATACAGGGATCTAGGTGATTCAGGTGAAAGTTGCCTTTATAATAATTTTAAGTAAAAACATGAATCAAATTAAGATAAAGTCTGAAGAAAATAAGGAAGATGGCATAGAGCTAATAAAAGTGGTATAGTGAATTCAGGTCTGACCTGGCAGTCCACTGAAAAACCTGTGAACTCAGCAGCAGAACATTGTCAGATGTGGTGCCTGAAGATAAGCCCTTCAGGCTGGAAGGTGCTAGAAATATGACTGAGAAAGGGCTGCCTCCTCAAAACAGAGTTGACCTTAATGACCTGGATGGAGTGAAACTTTCAGGACCTTCATTGGCTGGTGGGGCACATCTCAAAATGAGAAAACACAGCTGCACACATACATTAATAATTGGAATGTGGAACATACTAAGTATGAATCTAGGAAAATTGGAAGTCATCAAAAATGAAATGGAACACATAAAGATTGAAATCCTAGGCATTAATGAACTGAAATGTGTTATCAGACATTTTGAATTACACAATCATATGGATTACTATAACAGGAATGACATATTGAAGAGGAATGATGTCATATTCATCATTATAAAGAGCATTTCTCTATCTCTCTTGAAGTACAATGCTGTGATAGGGTAATATCTATGCCCCTACAAAGAAGACCAGTTAATACAATTATTCATATTTACACACCAACCATTAAAGCCAGTGATGAAGAAATTGAAGAATTCTACCAGCATCTTTAGTCTGAAATTGATCAAATATACCATCAAGATGCATTGGTCATTACTGATGATTGGAATGGGAAAGTTGGAAACAAAGAGGAAGGATCAGTAATTGCAAATATGGCCTTGGTGACAGAAGCAAAGCTGGAGATGGCATGATAGAATTTTGCAAGACCAACTGCTTTGTTTCAAATGCCTGTTTTTCCAACAACATAAATGGCTACTGTACACAGGGACCTCACCAGATGGGAATCCATAAGAATCAAATGATTACATCTGTGGGAAGAGGCACTGGAGAAGCTCAGTATCAGCCAAACTAAAGCCAGGGGCTGACTGAAACAAATTATCAATTACTCAGATGTAAGTTCAGGTTGAAGCTGAAGAAAAGTAAAACAAGTTCACAGGAGCCAAAATAAGACCTGGAATATATTGCATCTGAATTTAGAGACCATCTCAAGAACAGATTACGTTGAATGCTAATGAGCTAAGACAAGAGAAGTTGTAGAATGACTTCAAGAGCATTATACATGAAGAAAGCAAAAGGTAATTAAAAAGACAGGAAAGAAAAAAAAAAGACCAAGGTGTGAGTGTCAGAAGAGACTGAAACTTGCTCTCAGACTTAAGAGTAGCTAAAGTGAATAGAAGAAATGAAGTAAAAGAGCTGAACAGGAATTTTCAAAGGACAACATGAAAAGTCAAAGTAAAGTATATAATGAAATATGTAGAGGCCTGGGATTATAAAGCCAAAAAAGAAGGACAAGCCTAGCATTTTTTTAAGCCGAAAGCATTGAAGAAAAAATTCAAACCTTGACTAGCAAAAAAGGTTCTATGGGCAAAATAATGAATGATGCAGGAAGCATCAAAAGAAGATGGAAGGGATACACAGAGTCTCTGTACCAAAAAGAAGTGGTTGACATTCAGCCATTTCAGGAGGTAGCATATAATCAAGAACTCTGATAGCATAGTGGTTACGAATCAGGCTGCTAACCTCAAGGTCAGCAGCTTGCAACTACCAGCTGTTCCAAGGGAGAAAGATGATGCTTTCTGCTCCCGTACAGATTTACATACAGCGTTGGAGACTCTGTACAGGGCCTCTGTGAGTTAGGACCAACTCCATGGCACAGAACCACGACCACCAATGTTCCTAAAGGAAGAATCCCAAGCTGCACTGACGGCATTAGCAAAAAACAAGGCTCCAGGAATTGACAGAATATGGATTGAAAATTTTCTATAAACTAATTGCAGCACTGGAAGCGCTCACTAGTCTGTGCCAAGAATTTCAGAAGACAGCTACCTGTCCAGCTGACTGGAAGAAATACATATTTGTGCCCATTCAAAAAAAAAAAAAGGTGACCCAGCGGGATGCAGAAATCATTGAATTACTTCATTAATGTCACATGCAAGTAAAATTTTGCTGAAGATAATTCACAAATATTTACAGCAGCATGTCAACAGGGAAATGCCAGAAATTCAAGCCAGATTCAGAAGAGGACCTGAAATGAGGGATATCATTGCTGGTGTTAGATAGATCTTGGCTGAAAGTAGAGAATACCAGAAAAAATTGTTTTTTTTGTGTGTTTTACTGACTATGCAAAAGTATGTGTGGATCCCTTGAGCCCCATCCAAAACCTTCTGAGGTGGGACATTCCCACATGAAAGGACATGCAGACCAACCCAGAGCAGCTAGAGAAACAGAAGATATTTCTTGAAAGAAAGACCAGCAGGAGAAAACAAAAACCAAAATGGCAGTCTGCTTGGCTATTACAAGAAAAAAACAAGCTGTTCGCCAGGAAGCCATCAAGGCAAGTAATCAAGTCCCTTCAGGACAAACCCCCTCCAAGACTGAAACTCAAAGGAACACATGAGCAGGCACATAAGCTAGCTGGCAACCATGTTGGTCTATATGTGAGTGGAAGTGGGGGAAAGGCAGCAATGAAGAAATGGTCTGGGTTCAACCATGTTCCATAGACTCCTATAAACCTTGAGATAAGCGAGAGAAGAGGAAGGGCTGGTTTATCTGAAGTTTGGGGAGACTTAGGAACTCCTGAGTCCATGGACACTGATAGTGAAGCATCCAGTTGATATGAAGTTGGGGGAGATGCACAAGAATGCCCAAACTTGCAGATAGTATCCATTTGACCTAGCTTCAGTGGCTTGATGATCAGAATTCGACTAGAGGAAGATAAAGAAATTTGATAAAGGAAGTAAGTGAAAATTGCTACAATTTGATGAACTTGACCTATACTTATGGATGTAGTAGCTCAAAAGACTGAGAGGGAAGAAGTCGTCACATCAAGAATCAAACCTATCCCCTCTGTACACAGGGTTGATAGGGACAGGCAGTTTAGACATTGGCTACCTGAAATGTGGGTGGGGGTATAAAGGCACAAAGTGACTGGCTTACAAGTTTTCAAGAGGGAGTATAGTTTCAGAGTATGCGGGGAAAGATAGAATCCCCACTGTATAGTTTTCATCTTGTCTAGACGGGTCTGGTAAAAGGAGAGAGGGATAAGAGTTTTATGATTCAATAATGAGTAATTATCATCATGACTAATTGCGATTGTCACAACTGAAAAAATAGAAGTTTTGTAACATAAAGGGGGACATAGTTAATCTTACATTCCAGGAACAGAGGACCCTAGGACCGTCAAAGGAGAAGAACATGAAGAGCATGAGTGGAATGTGAGACCCTATCCAGAGAAGCAGTGACACCAGAGATGGAGATGATGAAATGGCGAGATAGAGCAGCTGAGGACTCTAGACTCATGGAAAGAGAAAGGCTGTATGCTGGCAGCCAGGAGGCAGGCTTGCAAAATGTGCCCTTTGGTTGTTTAAATTATTATATATTCCTGCATATTTTTGTGTACATCAAAAAAAAAAGACAAAGTAATAGGAGCAAATTATGTTAACCAATGATGCATGGAGGGTATAGTAATCATTGCAATGAAACAAAATACTATAGGTTGAGTGTAAAAGGATTTGTGTAGTTTGTAACAAACTGTGGATAACATTTCAAAGAATGGAAATTCCAGAACACTTCATTGTCCTCATGTGGAACCTGTACATAGAACAGAACAAGGGGATTCTGTGTGGTTTAAAATCAGGAATGGTGTGTGTTAGGGTTTTATGCTTTTACCCTACTTAATTCATTCTAAATACTGAGCAAATGATTTGAGAAACTGGACTATCTGAAGAAGAATGTGGCATCAGGATTGGAGGAAGGCTCATTAACAACCTTAGCTATGTAAATGATACAACCTCGCTTGCTGAAAGTGATGAGGACTTAAAGCATTTGCTGATGAAGATCAAAGACCATAGTCTTCAGTATGGATCACAACTCAATTAAAAATATCCTCACAACTGGAACAATAAGTAACATCATGATAAATGAAGGAAAAGGTTGAAGAAAAGGATTTCATTTTCTTTCATTTCAGTCAAGAAATCAATTAGAAAACATTAGGCAAATCTGCTGCAAATACCTCTTTAAAGTATTAAAGAATAAAGATGTCACTTTGAGGAGTAAGGTGTGCCTGACACAAGCCATGGTATTTTCAGTGGCGTCTATATGCATGTGAAAGCTGGACAATAAATATGGAAGACCAGAGAAGAATTGATGCATTTGAGTTGCGGTGTTGGTGAGCAATTCTGAAAGTACCATGGACTGCCAGAAGAACAAACAAATTTGTCTTGGAAGAAGGACAACCAGCATGTTCCTTAGAAGTGAGGCTGAGGAGATTTCATCTTATGTGTCTTGGATATGTTATCAGGAGGGACCAGCCCCTGGAAAAGGACATGATGCTTGGTAAAGTGGATGATCAATGAAATAGAGAAAGATCCTCAGCGAGACAGATTGGCACAGTGGCTGCAACAATGGGCTCAACCTAACAACAATTGTGAAGATAGTGTAGGACCAGGCAGTGTTTTGTTCTGTTGTACATAGGGACCCTCAGAGTCTAAGTGACTCAGTGACACCTAACAACAACAATGTATGGGGGTGGAAAGGCAGATTCTCAGCAGGGGGTCAAGCTGAAATGAAGCCGCTCCAAGCCCTACTTTTAACCAACCCTGCGCCTGTGTAATGATAGTAATTATCTTAATAACTTCATGATTTATTGCTGTGTGGCAATGCAAAGTTTACTGAGGACTTGCAAATCCATTATCTCCATTTCTGTGCCAGGCAGATAAGGTTGGGACTATGAGTCCATTTCAGAGTTGTGGAAAGAAGTGTAGAGCAGTTAGGTGACTTCATGTCATCAAGATTCATGTAGCCCCTGCTTTCAGGCATTACTATCAGAATTTATTTTGTTGTCCAAATTGTTCTAACTTTGGCCACTGGAAGCACTTTTAAGTTGGCTCCTGTAACTTTTAGATGTCCTCATTCCATTTTTCCCCCATTCTCTCCCCACTGAATTTTTTATTTTCTGCACAATAAGGTGGTTGATGGTAGTGGTATGCTATTGAGTCAGTTTCAACTCATAGCGTCCCTGTGTAGGGTTTCCAAGGCTCTAAAGCTTTACAGGAGCAAAAAGCCTCATTTTTAGCAGCCCAACATGTGACCCACTGCATCACCCTGTATTTTCCCTTATCTACTTCTCTAAAAGTAGCCATTGCTCCGAGGAGTCTGGTTTGGTTTGAGTATGGCTTTAGAAACCAAGACGTGAGCACTGATGCGCTCATTGCTGCTAGGGTATCCCTACTTTAGGCTCTTGGAGGACAGAAGTAGGAATTATGTGTATGTATCTGTACTAACCACGCACACACACAGCTTTATTTCTGTACTTTTTAAAAGCATTTTTTAAACAAACGTTTTAGAAAACTTTAAAGAAATACCTAATTCTTGCTTCCAAAGCTAGGGACTATCTTGTGGCTATGTGCTGCGGGGGACAGGGTTAGACCTGCAGATCTTAGATGGCAGATAGAAACGGAGCAAAGTAGGGAAAGACATGGTTGTGGGTAGGGAGTGGTCTAGCAGAAGCAGTGCTGGTGGGTCATGGAGGGGGATGTTTTGTGGAAGGGGAACATAATCTTGGCTAGGATGTGTGTCTTGGGGGTGGGAAAAGCAGGGAGGTGGGAGATGAGAAGATTTTTGAAGCTTTGGTGAAGGCCCCTCTGTGTTTCTCCCAGGTTGGTATGACAGCAGGGAAGATGCCAGAGGCGGGCACCTTAGGCCCAGCTGAGAAGAAGGTGAAGATGCTGGAGCAGCAGCGTACTGAGGTAGGTAGTTGGATGGGGAGTCCAGGGAAGACCCTTCTGCTCTCTGAGAGCAGCAGCAGGACAAAGGCCCTCCCTGACCTCCTGGTTCTGGCTGGTGCTGTGATGAGTTTATATATATATTCTATGATAAACCAGGTCAGGGAGCGGCTGCCCCCTTTTTTTGAATCCGTCTCCACAAGTTTAGGCTCTTCCCTTGTATCTTATGCATGTTTCTCCCCACCTCCACCTGAGTGTCGTCTAGTCTCTCCAGACCTGGGGTCAGCCCTACTTCCTGTGGTGGGCAATTGCTCTGCTGGTGTGGAGCTGTGGAGCGTACAACGGTTCAGCTTGTCTGTGGGCCTATCCTTTGTCCCCTCCTTTGCATACAGCTCACCCAGGTCCTCCTCCATAATTTGAGCCCCTGCTCCCTGGGCCTGAAACCCACTTGAAAGCCAGGCCTCTCTCAATCTTTCATCTATGTACATATTCATTTTAGATTCTTCATTAACATTATTATGCATTTGTTTTCTGGTTCAAAAGTAACATAATGCTCATTATCAGAAGAGTAGAGAACCTTACTGTCTGGCTTGGCACACAGGTGACAACATTCACTGCATATTTCTGTGGGTTTTTCCTGTGTACTGATAGAGTGGTGCTGGTGGGGCTGTAGGGTAACCACAAGGTTAGCAGTTCAAACCACCAACCAGTCGCTCTGCCAGGAGTCCTGGTGTGGTGCTGCAGGTTAATGTGCTGGACTGCAAGGTCAGTAGTTCAAGCTCACCAGCTGCTCCTTGGAAACCCTATGCAGGGTCGCTATGAGTTGAACCTACCTACTCGACAATGTGGAACAAGGGATATCATTGCTGATGTCTGATGGATCTTGGCTGAAAACAGAATGCCAGAAACATGTTTACCTGTGCCTTATTGACTACACAAAAGACTTTCGATTGTGTGGCTCATGACAAACTATGGACAACATTGCGAAGTATGAGTATTCCAGGACACTTAATTGTGCTCATGAGGAATCTGTACATGGACCAAGAGGCAGCTGTTCAAACAGAACATGGGAACACTGAATGGTTTAAAATTAAGAAAGGTGTGTGACAGGGTTGTATTCTTTCACCATATTTATTCAAACTGTATGCTGAGCAAATAATACGAGAAGCTGGATTGTATGAAGAAAAATCTGGCATCAGGATTGGAGGAAGACTCATTAACAACCTGCGATATGCAGATGATACAACTTTGCTTGCTGAAAGTGAAGAGGACTTAAAATACTTACTGATGAAGATTAAAGAGCACAACCTTCGGTATGGATTACATCTCAATGTAAAGAAAACAAAACTCCTCACCACTGGACCAATAAACAGCATTCTTATCAATGGAGAAAAGATTGAAGTTGTCAAGGACTTCATTCTTCTTGGATCAACTTGGATCAACACTCATGGAAGCAGCAGTCAAGAGATCAAACTAGGTATTACATTAGACAAATCTGCTGCACAAAACCTTTTTGAAGTGTTGAAAAACAAAGATGTCAGCTGTAGGACTAAGGTGTGCCTGACCCAAGCCATGGTATTTTCAATAACCTCATATGCATGCAAAAGCTGGACAGTGAATAAGGAAGATCGTTTAAGAATTGATGCTTTTAAGTTATGGTGTTGAAGGAGAATATTGAAAGTACCATGGGCTACCAAAGAACCAACAGATATGTATTGGAAAAAGTGCAGCCAAAGTGCTCCGTGGAGGCCAGGATGGTCAAACTTCACCTCTGGTACTTCGGACATATTGTCAGGAGGGACCAGTTGCTGGAGAAGGATATCATGTTTGGTAAGGTGGAGGGTCAGAGAAAAAGAGGAAGACCCCCAGCGAGATGTTTGGCAAAGTGGCAGCATCAATGGGCTCAAGTGTGGCAACAGTTGTGAGGTTGGCCCAAGATCGGGCAGTGTTTGATTCTGTTGTGTATAGGGTTGTTATGAGTCGGTATCAACTCAATGGCATCTAACAACAACAACACCTCGACAGCACTTAACAAAAAACAAGTCGCTCTGCAGGAGAAAAAAATGAGACTTTCTGCTCCCATAAAGATTTATAGCCTCAGAAACCCTATATAGTGTTGTTATGAGTCAGAATTTTCTCAAAAGGCAGCGGGTTTATTTGTGTTGTTTTGTTTATGAATGGTGCTGTAGGATAAGCACTGGATCGCAAGATCAGTTTAAACTGCAAGGTCAGTACTTCAAACCCACCAGCCACTCCTTGGAAGCCGCCCTATACAGGGTTGCTATGAGTTGAAACCAACTCAATGGCACTTGACGACTATGAATGTTTTATAGGATTTCTGGTGAGACAAACAACATTCCTATCTTTATTATATCATATTTTCAAAGTTCTGAGTACTTTTCATCATATCTCAATGCTTCTGAAAAGTGGGATACACTTTCTCATTGTTTTATTTACAGGTAGTCACTGGGTTACAAAGACAAGTCATATGTATCCCCTTTAATGCTAGGTAGATTTTCCCTCACATTGAAAGGATAGAACCAACAGCCTCTACTTGCAAAATATTCATCACAATCACCTTCACTTGCTGCATGTGCCACTTTTAAATTGCTGAACGGCTTTGAGCCTTTTCTTGCTCTCAAGTCAGGCTAAGTAAGAGCCATAGACGCCTGCTCTGACTTGCCTACAAATTCACTTTAAAGACACGCTTAGGAATGATCTCATTACTCACCTGGGGACTGCCTGTATTGAATGATGTAAGGCTCGTTTTGTCCCCTGAGGACCTATTATTATATCTAGAGTATGTAAAATAATTAGTATCATTTTGAAACTGAGGAAATATATTAGATGCCTTATTCATTGTAATAATTTCACAATGTTTATACTATAAGTGGGCCTCTAGATTTGTTTGTACTGTAAATATTGCTGAGCTGATCAGGCATGTGTATGCATTTTTTTTTCAAGAGTTTATTTACTTTGTTGTTGACGTTGGGAATACACACAGCAAAGCATACACCAATTCAACAATTTCAACAAATGTACCATTTAATGACACTGATGACATTCTTCAAGTTCTGCACCCTTCTCACCCTCGATTTCTGAGTTGTTCCTCCTGTATTAACATAAACTCACTGCCCCCAAAGCTTCCTTATGTCACCTTTTGAGTTGCTGTTGCCAATTTTATCCATATACTTCTTAAAGAGCATACTGCTCCAAACCAAACCAAACCAAACCCAACCCATTGCCATCTTTATAGGAGCAGAAAGCGTCATCTCCTCCCAAGGAGTGGCTGGTGGGTTTGAATCACCAACCTTCTGGGTAGCAGTCCAGTGCTTATCCTCCAATACCAACAGGGCAGACCTTTTTTATGAGTTAGGCTAGACTGCTGTTTAGATTTTAAGATCATGCCGGGGGATATTTTCAGTTTAAAGTTTAAAGACTATTTCAGAGGAGTAGTTTCAGGGGCTCATCATCATCCATGGCACTAGAGTCAATGAGAATTTGAAATTCTGTTCTGCATTTTTCCCATTTTTGATCAGGATTTTTCTATGGCATTTTAAATCGATAGTGTTCAGTAGTGGCAGCTGGACACCATCCAGTTCTGGTCTTATGGGAAAGGAGACTAATGTTCTTGGAGACAATTAGTCACACATTGCTTTTCCTCCTCCTGTTTCTGATACTTCTTCCTCTGTTGCTCCAAGACCAGTTTTGCCTTGGATGGCTACTTAAGCTTTTAAGACCCCAGGCACCACTCCCAAACTAGGAGGTAGAACAGAAGCATGAAACACCTATTAGCCCAATGAACTGGGACATCCAATGAAACCATGACCCTAAATCTCCAAACCAAGGAACTTAATTCCATGAACATCAGCAGCTTCAGAGCCCTGGCGTGGTGCTGTAGGATGAGCACTAGACTGCTAACTACAGCAGCTCCTTGGAAACCCTATACCAGGTTCCCATGAGTCGGAACCGACGTGACAGCGACTAACAACAAGTAGCTTCAGGACCTACTCTTGGTTTTTGTCAGTGTAATTAATATATCTATCACACGACTTTTTCCAATTCAACTTTTTCCAGGTGGACGACTTATTGACAGCAATTACAGTAATTGTCTACCCTTCATGTAAAATTTCCATCACAGTTAACTTCCCCTGCCCACTTCTTCCTCACCCCTAAACCAATCCTGCTGCCAAGGAGGCAGTTCGGATTCATAGTGACCCACCTTCTAGGACAGAGTAGAGCTGGTCCTTAGGTTTTCTGAGACTCTGAATCTGTGGAAGCAGGCTGCTCATCTTTGTCTTCAGGAGCAGCCCAGTGTTCATTCCACTGTGTCCCCAGGGCTCCTCGTCCACCCCTAATAACCAGTAGTAAGCTTTGGTCTCTCTACATTTGTTTTGTCTTTGTATACAAGAGTACTTCAAAAAGTTCACTGGAAAATTAGAATGAAAAGATAATGGAATTTTTTCACAAACTTTTGAAACTCCCCCCTCATATGTTGTTGTTGTTATTGTTAAGTGCCATGAGGTTGGTTCTGACTCACAGCAACTCTGCATAGGGTTTGCGAGGAACAGCTGGTGGGTTTGAACTGCCAACCTTTTGGTTCTCAGTCCTACAGTGAGCACTAATCCTACAGTGCCACAACAGGACTCCACCCCTAGTATGTTGTTGTTAAGTGCCACTGAGTCGATTTCAACCCATAGCGACCCTGTATAGGGTTTCCAAGAAGCAGCTGGTGAGCTTGAATCACCAACCTTGCTGTTCAAGCGACTTTGCAGTCTGACGCATTAGCCCACAGCACCACACCAGGACTCCAACATGTACACAAATATTTATTGTAGTACTATACACAATAGCCAAACAGTGAAAACAGCCTAAATGCCCACAGACAGATGAATTAATAAACAAAAGATAGTCACATACTTACAATGAAATATTACTCAGTCTCGAGGAGGAAATGAAGTGTTGATACAGATTACAATATGGATGGAGCTGGTGTGTGTCAGGGGCCGGGAGGTGGTTCTCTTTACTCCTTCTCTGCCTATCTGCTGCTCACCCGCATCTCTCCCCACAGCTGCTTGAAGTGAACAAGCAATGGGACCAGCATTTCCGCTCCATGAAGCAACAGTACGAACAGAAGGTAATTTGGGGGCTGAAGGGACTCAAGGTTGGAATGATCTGGCTTGACTCACAGGGCCTCTGGTTTCCTGTGCCCCGGTGCATCCTGGACCCTTGCCCCCTCACACTTTCTGGTTCTGCGTCTGCACCCAGATCACTGAGTTGCGCCAGAAACTGTCCGACATGCAGAAGCAGGTGACTGACCTGGAGGCTGAGCGTGAGCAGAAGCAGCGTGACTTTGACCGCAAGCTCCTCCTGGCCAAGTCCAAGATTGAAATGGAGGAGGTAAGCATCACTGCCAGTCTCTGCCTGCCCGCTCTGGCAGACCATTCACAGGAAGCTCAGGAGAGTGGACAAGCCAGCCAGGGGCTGTGGAACTCTGAATGTTCTATCTCTGGCTCTATGGTGAAGGGCGGGATGATCATAGGCCAAAGGATTTTCCCTTCTGTGTGCCTCAGTTTCCCGAGGTATTGGTTTTCAAACTTTCCTGTTTTCTTACAGAAGAACTTTTCGTTCAGTTAAAGTCATATGACAGGGGAACCTTATGGAGGACAAAGAATGTAGAGGAGGGGCTGGGTACTGCTAAGTGTTTAGGGTATAGAGGTTGTTTGTGTGGGAGCTAGCACATTAGCCAGAGCTTGACACATTCATTGACCTGGTTATTTTTCCTTAGAGCGTGTTTCAGTGATTCAGTGCTTAGCAGCCCAGATGTACCCTTGTGGGGGAAAGAGATGCTAAGTTACTAATTTATTGCACAAGCAAATTAATTAGCAGGAGCATAGGAAGTCCTACCAAGAAGTCACAGGGATCACAGAACATGAAGGGGGACCAGACTGGCTGGGGACCCAGGAGCAGCTGCCCTGAGGAGCTGGTGTCTGCTTTGATGTGTGTGGCTGACACAAGCCACAGCCTCCGGGATGCTTGTTGTTGTGTTGTTAGGTGCCATCGAGTCGGTACCGACTCATAGTGACCCTATACACAATACAACCAAACACAGCCTAGTCCTGAGCCAACCTCATAATTGTTGCCACGCTTGAGCCCATTGATGCTGCCACTTTGTTAATCCATCTCGCTGGGGTTTTCCTCTTTTTTTCTGACCCTCCACCTTACAAACATTGGTGTCTTCTAACAATATGCCCGAAGTATGAGAGACAAAGTTTGTCCATCTTAGACTCCAAGGAGCACTCAGGCTATACTTCTTCCAACACAGAGCTGTTGGTTCTTTTGGCAGTCCATGGCACTTTCAATATTCTCCTCCAACACCATAACTCAAAAGCATCAATTCTACAGTCTTCCTTATTCACTGCCCAGCTTTCGCATGCACATGAGGTTGTTGAAAATACCATGGCTTGGGTCAGGCACACCCTAGTCCTCTAGCTGACATCTTTCCTCTTCAACACTTTAAAAAGGTCTTGTGCATCAGATTTGCCTAATGCAATACCTCATTTGATTTCTTGACTGCTGTTTCCATGAGTGTTGATCCAAGTTGATCCAAGAAGAAGGAAGTCCTTGACAACATCAATCTTTTCTCCATTGATAAGAATGTTGTTTATTGGTCCAGTGGTGAGGATTTTTTTTTTCTGTATATTGAGATGCAATCCATACTGAAGGCTGTGCTCTTTGATCTTCATCAGTAAATATTTTAAGTCCTCTTCGCTTTCATCAAACAAGGTTGTATCATCTGCATATTGCTTGAGTTAATGAGTCTATCCTGAAGCCACGTTTTTCTTCATATAACCCAGCTTCTCAGATTAGATGTTCAGCATACAGTTTGAATAAATATGGTGAAAGAGTACAATCCTGTCGCACACCTTTCTTAATTTTAAGCCATTCAGTTCCCATGTTCTGTTTGAACAGCTGCCTCTTGGTCCATGTACAGATTCCTCATGAGCACAATTAAGTGTTCTGGGATACTCATACTTCACACTGTTGTCCATAGCTTGTCATGATCCACGCAATCGAAAGCCTTTGTGTAGTCGATAATGCATAGGTAAACATCTTTCTGATAGTCTCTGCTTTCAGCCAAGATCCATTGGACATCAGCAATGATATCCCTCATTCCATGGCTTCTTCTGAATCTGGCTTGAACTTCTGGAAGTTCTCTGTCAATGCATGCTTGCAGCCATTTTTGTATTACCTTTAGTAAAACTTTACTTACATGGGATATCAAAGATACTGTCTGGTGATTTCTGCATTCCATTGGGTCACCTCTCTTTGGAATGGACACAGATACGGATTTCTTCCAATTAGTTGGTCAGATAGTTGTCTTCCAAATTTCTTGGCATAGATGAGTGAGTGCCTCCTGTGTCGCCTCACTTTCTTGTAAGATTTTAATTTTTATTCCATCAATTCTTTGTGTCTTGTTCTTTCCCAGTTCCTTCACTGCACCTTAGACTTCTTCCTTCAATATCATTGGCTCTTGATCATATGCTACCTCTTGAAACAATTGAACATCAACTATTTCCTTTTGGTACAGTGACTTTGTGTCTTCCTTCAGTTTTCTTTTGATGCTTCAATGATTTTTTTAAAATGCTTTATTGTGAATTATGTGACAGTTTACATGGGAGAACGTTAGCTTTACATTCATCCTATCGTATATCGTTCCATTGACCTGGTTACAATCCCCTCCATGCATCATCAACCAACCAAAGGGTATACCCTGCAAGCCTGCCCCCTGGTTGTCAGCACACAGCCCCTCTCCCTCTCTGTGTCTATGATGCATCAGTGATTTTTTATTGAAATCATTCAATAATTTGCCCAGAAAATCCTTCATTAATGAAAGTCAAGGCTTGAATATTTTTTTCAGTTCCCCCAGCTTGAGAAATTCTGAGCGTAGTCTTTGCTTTTGGTTTTCTGACTCTAGATCTTTGCACATTTCGTTGTAATATTGTCTTCTCGAGCTGACCTTTGAAATTTTCTGTTCAGCTCTTGGACCGCTTCATTTCTTCCATTTGCTTTAGCATCTTTATGCTGGAGAGCAAGTTTCAGTGTCTCTTCTGACATCCATTTTGATCTTTTCCTTCTTTCTTGTCTTCTTCATGACTTTTTGCTTTTTTCATGTATGATATTCTTCATATCATCCCACAACTCTTCTGGTCTTCTGTTTTTAGTATTTAATGTGTCAAATCTGTTCTTCAGATGATCTCTAAATTCAGGTGGGATATATTCAAGGTCATATTTTGGCTCTCGTGGACTTGTTTGCATTTTCTTCAGCTTCAGTTTGAATTTGCATATGAGCAATTGATGGTCTGTTCCACAGTCTGCTCCTGGCCTTGTTTTGACTGATGATATGGAGCTTTTCCATAGTTTCTTTCCACAGATATTGTCAATTTGATTTCTATGTATTCCATCTGCTGAGGTCCATGTGTATAGTCATCTCTTATACTGTCTAAAGAAGGTATTTGAAATGAACAAATCACTGATTTTGCAGAATTCTATCATGCATTCTCCAGCAACATTTCTATCTCCAAGGCCATATTTTCCAACTACTGGTCCTCCCTCTTTGCTCCCAACCTTTGCATTCCAATCACCAGTAATGATCAATACATCTTGATTGCATGTTTGATCAATTTCAGATTGAAGAAGTTGGTAGAATTCTTCTACTTCATCCTCACTGGCTTTAGTGGTTGGTGCGTAAATTTGAATAATATTGGTATTAACTGGTATTCCCTGTTGTTGTTGTTGTTAAGTGCTGTCAAGTCGATTCTGAACCATAGTGACCCTGTACAGGGTTTCCGAGGTTGTAAATCTTTATGGGAGCAAAAAGCCTCATGCTTCTCCCGCGGAACACCGGGTTGTTTCGAACTGCTGACCTCCTGTAGGTGCATGGATATTATCTTATCACAGGCAGCATTGTACCTCATGACTAATCTGGATACTGATTCTTTTTGACAATGAATGCAACACCATTCCTCTTTAATTTGTCATTCCTGGCATAGTAAACCATGTGGTTGTCAGATTCAGAGTGACCAATACCAGTCCATTTTAGCTCACTAATGCCTAGGATATCAATGTTTATGTGTTCCATTTCATTTTTGACAATTTCCAGTTTTCCTAGGTTCATACTTCGTACATTCCATGTTCTGATTATTAATGGATGTTGACAGCTGTTTCTCCTCATTTTGAGCTGTGCCCCATCAACAGATGATGGTCCCACAGGCTTATCTACCACGGGCTTTACTCCATTCGCGTTATCATGGTCAGCTCTACTTTGAGGAGGCAGCTCTTCCCCGGTCACATTGTGAGTGCCTTCCAACCTGAGGGGCTCATTTTCCAGTACTGTATCTGACAGTGTTTCTCTGCTATTCATAAGGTTTTCCGTGACTAAATATTCAGAAATAGTTCGTCACTCCTTCTTTCCAGGACGCTAGGGCAGCTTAAAGAAGAATGGCCACGTGACTCCAGATTCTTCTTATGTCTTGCTCTGTCTCCGGGCACAGACTTCTGCCTAACTTCAGAAAGGACATGGTGTATCCAGAGTCTATTTCAGGCCTCACATTAGCACATGGGCCTTATCTGAGCTTAGGGGTGTCAGCCTGCCTTGGTAAACAACCCCTCACCCTGAGGATGTGTGTTAGGGAGGACACTCCCTATCTTTCCTCTTGAGTGGAGTGCATAGGTGCAGCCAGATAGCTTGGCTCTTTGGCCCTTCCTTGTGTGCACATCAGTGGGTGAAACAAATTACTGGAAGCGCACAGCTCTTCCCTGTCAGCTGGGAGTAAGTTGGGACACAGGGAGAGAGGCCATGCTTAATCCTGGCGCCTTCTAGGCGGGAAGTCCAGATAACCCTTATAAGTCCTGACCAAGGCAATTCCTTGCTGGAGCCAGCTCACCAACCTGCTTGTATAATATTGAGTAAAGGTCACACAGGAGGAAATGGCAGCCCTGGGATGGAAATGAATTCCTGATCCATATTAGATGAATGGCGTTGTTCGCTGTTGTTGAGTTGGCCTCTGACTCATGGTGACGCCATGAATAATGGAGCCAGACCACTGTGGTCTCTGAGGGTTTCCTCGGATTGATTTTTCAGAAGATCACATGGCCTTTCTTCCTAATCCATCTGAGTCTGGAAACACTGCTGAAACCAGCTCGGGACCATTGTTGTGAGGTGCTCTCAAGTCCATTCTGACTCATAGCAGCCTTGTATAGCACGGCCTGACCCAACGCCATCTTCACCTTTGTTAAGTGTGAGCCCTTTGTTTTTGCCACCATGTCATTCCATCTTGTTGGGGTCTTCCTCTTTTTTACTGACCCTCCACTTTGCCAAGCATGATGTCCTTTTCCAGGGACTGGCCCCTCCTGATAACATGTCCAAAGTATAGAGGCAAAGTCTTGCCATCCTGGCTTCTAAGGAGCATCCTGGCTGTACTTTTCTTCCAAAACAGATTTGTTCATTCTTCTGGCAGTTACAGTATTCTTTCCCACCACTATCATTGAATTGCATCAATATTTTTCTACTGTCATCCTTATTTATTGTCCAGCTTTCACATGCATATGAGGCAATTGAAAATACCATGGCTTGGGTCAGATACACCTTAGTCCTCAAACTGACATCTTTGCTCTTTAATACTTTAAAAAGATCTTTTGCAGTACATTTGTCCAGTGTAATATGCCATTTGATTTCTTGCCTGCTTCTTCCATGAGCAGTGATTGTGCATCCAAGTAAAATGAAACCCTTGACAACTTCAATCTAGCTTTCCCTTTTTTTGTTATTTATTGGTACAGTTGTGAGGATTTTTGTTTCTTTATACTGAGGTACACATACTGAATGAAGGCTGCGGTCTTAGATCTTTATCAGTAAATGCTTTAGATCCTCCTCACTTCCAGCAAGCAAGGCTGTGCCAATTTGAAGATTGCAGATTGTTAGTGAGCTGTCCTTCAATCCTGATGTTATGTTCTTTTTCATATAGTCCAGCTTCTCACATGAGTTGCTCAGCATACAGATTGAATAAGTATGGTGAAAGGATACAACCCTGACACACCTTTCCTGATTTTAAAGCATTCAGAATTCCCTTGTTCAGAAGTGGTCCGCTTCTCCTTCCTCATCTGTCTTAGTCTGGAAGTTCTGCTGAATCCTGTCCACCAGGACTCCGTTACCCCACATTTGTACACATGGAAATACATAGCTTGTCATGGTGTGCTCCACCCAAGTAATGTTGCCACTACGTCATGCTGCCATCCCTGATTTCAAACTTCCTTTGACTTAGAAGAGGAGAAAGCTCTGGAATAAGAGAACTGGGTTCTAGCTACAGCTTCCTGTGTGGCTTTGGGTAAAGCCCCTTCTCTCTGGTCATACATTTTTCATCATGTAAAGAAGTTGATGTTCTTAAAAGGCTTCCACCTTGAAGCCTTCCTTAGATTTCTTTTGAGCTGTGGTGGTCTTCTTTTAACCTGCAGCACTTCATTTGTTTCTCTGAGAAAGAGCACTTTTTCCTTCCATTATGTTTCTATTTGCAAGTGTTATCCTTCCGTGGGCTCAGAAGCTGTGGGCGCTGACAGCTCCTTTAGAGATGGTCATTGGACCACAAATGTCTGCAGATCACAGGTCCTTTATGAGAATGTAATGAAAACTGTAAGCATTTTTCTTTATGTAAGCATTGTCCTTTGTGAGAATGTAATGAAAACTGTAAGCAACATTTTGCTTTCAGTTCTGTGTGTCTGATACACTCCCTGCCTCTCACCTGGAACGCCCGTAAAGCTCTTACACATGGCAGAGAAAGATAGCTGAGACTAGAGCGCTGTAATGGGGCCCATGGTCTCAGTGAGGTGGTGGTAGAGCTGCTGTTAGAATCCAGACCTTGCACTAAACTGAGCCCTCTTCCTTGAAGGCTGGAGCTGTCTGGGCATTATCCTTCTGACCCCAGCTGCCTGGCATTCGACCAGTGGGATCACTGCTGGGTGTGGGGTGAGAGGGAAGTCCGTGGGGTGGGACAGGCAGTACAAGCATCCCGGAGGAACCCCTGCCTCACCCTTGTCTACTCTGCAGGCTGAGAAGGAGAAGCTGACGACAGAGACCAAGGAGCTACGCCAGAAGGTCAAGTACCTACAGGACCAGCTGAGCCCACTCACTCGGCAACGGGAGTACCAGGAAAAGGAGATCCAGCGACTCAACAAGGTGAGCAGCCTGGCACTGGTCCCCTTGGATGGGCAGAGTGTCCCTGAGCCCAGAAGCACCTTTCTCCCTCCATTGCTGGTGCCCCCAAGTCTGCAGCTCAGGAGAATGACTTCTCCAGCAGGGAACTTACTTAGCATGGAGGGTTTCAATGCAAACTCACAGTTCCAGCTCCTGCTGCTGCTGCCCTCTGCCCACACTCAGTATTCCAGCCCCTTGGGTGAGCCTCTACTGACTGGCTCTGACCTCCAGGCCCTTTGCACATGCTGTTGCTTCAAATGATGCCACTCTGTCCCAAATACCACACTTATTGATCTGATCACCTCTGCTTATCGATCAGATTTAGCTATCACATCACGTACTCAGGGAGGCTGCCCCAACTCACATCCAGTCCCTCTTTGTGTGCTCTTAAAACACTACACCCCTCCTCACATGATCTCGTCCTTCTGTGTTTAAACATCTGCTTCCCAGGCCATGTTGGACAGGTGTTCCTCTTCACCAACCTCAGTGCCTGGCACAGTGCTTGCACCAAACTGATGTCAGCAAACACTCTGAAGGGAGTGGCCTAAGAGTTTCTACCCTGTGGGATTTGAGGAGACAGGGCACTCCAGAGTGGAGGCTAGGTAGAACAGAAACCCTGGGCTGGGTTTTGGCTCTGGTCCCAGCTTGGCCACTTCAGCCTCTCTGGGCCTCCGTTTTGCCACGTGAGCCTTGGGTGGAATCACTCCCACATTCTAGCTTCTAGTGCAGGGAACAAGCTACCAGAGGGAGCTGGGAAAGGCAGTCTTCTCTGAAGGCATGGAGGAGTGCTCAGTGTGTGGCTCGGCTTTTCCATTTGTGCCTTCTGGTTTCCCATTCTCTGCCTCCTGGCCCTGGCCACACTGGGCTCTGGAGAGAGTTTGGTGTTTCCTGAGGCTCAAACCTGCTGGGGGTTACCTTCTCTGTTTAGGGTCATTGTTGTAAAACCTTTATGCTGAGTCTAGAATCCTTATGGTCTATTCTCTGAGAGGAAAATATGATTTGTCCTATGTTGGCGGGGAGCCCTAGATCTGGGCAGAATATTGTCCATGGTGTTGACAGTACAGCTCATCAGAGAAGGACCCCACCCTCCAGGCATGGTCAGCATAGCATTGCTACTGGGGACAGAGATACTGTGTCAATAGCTAATACAAGCCAGGTGGGCCCCATCCCTGAACGTCAGTATTCTCATCTCAAAAATGGGCAGAGTAGCTTGGAATGTAGGCATAGCTTCCCCTTTGGAGCATCCTGACTTTACTCTGGGTACAGCAGTTTGATCCTGCTTCTGGCGAAGCCACGGTGGACAAAGGAATCAACTTGGGAAAGGTCTCTTGAGTCTTCCTATGGCTCAGGGTGGCAGACAAGCCGTGAACCTCCATCTGTAGGTCTGTGTACCCAGTGTTGAGACCTAGTAAACCAAGTCCCTGCTGAACAGAGGGCAGAAGTTCAGGTTATTGGTTAAAGTGTGTGGTGCTTTGGGTTAATGAGCCAGACTGCAAAGCTGTTTGAACCGCAAGGTCAACAGTTCAAGCTCACTAGCTGTTCCTCGGAAACACTATACAGGGTTGCTATGGGTCAGAGCCGATTTGATGTCACTTAATAACAACAACAGTAGGCTGTCTCTTGGGGTGAAGGAAATCCTAACCTCTGTGCCCGTGGTTGGAGTCCTGGTATGGCACTGTAGGATAAACACTGACTTAAAAGGTCAGTTTGAACTGCACTGTCGGTGGTTCAAATCTACCAGCCACTCCTTGGAAACCCTGTATGGGTTTGCTGTGAGTTGGAACTGACTCAAAGGCTTTTACCAATATCATGCCTGAGGTTATAATCCCATTTGGGAATGGATTGTCTTTGTTATGTTAATAACTCAGGATCAGTGTAGCTATCAAAGACTTAAAAAGATGAGGAGGAGGATGGTCATCTTCTTTAGAGGATTGTGGAGAGGAGTCAGTGAAGTAATATGTTAATAAACAGTACAGCGTTACTGAATTGTCATTAGTATCAGGGTCCCTGAGGATGACCATCCCAATGGGGTCTGACATCCAGGAGCTCTGCTAATGGCCCCGTATCCTGTCTCCCTCCCCGATTTTAGGCCCTAGAGGAAGCACTAAGCATCCAGACCTCCCCTTCATCTCCACCAGCAGCATTTGGAGGTCCAGAAGGAGTGGGGGGCCTCCTAAGGAAGCAGGAGCTTGTCACCCAGAACGAATTGCTAAAACAGCAGGTGAGTCTGTGGGAGGAGGTCTGGTGAAAGTGCTCAGTGGGAGCTGGAACCTTCCAGGGCCAGGACAGGGCTGGAAGTTACATGGAAGCTGGAATTCATTGACCGTTTCTGGCCATTGACCAGGACCTCTCCTGCTGATAGGTTTCCCCTTCCCAGAAATGTATTCCTGACTGACGTCATTACTCTACCACCTTCATGATGTGGCCATCTGGATTCCCCACCTGTGCTTTTACCTGTTTGCTTTTTAAATCGAGGTGAAATGAACATGATATGAAGGCAGCCATTGAAAAGTGAACTGGCATTTGGCACAGTCTCAATAGAGGTGGTACAACTGCCACCTCTGTCTAGTTCCAAAACATTGTCATCACCCCAGTGGAAACCCTTTTTAATGGCAGACCTGGATTCCAGTCATTCACACTCTGCCCACACTGTGGTTCTGTAACTTCTGTCTCTCTCTGGGTCTTTGCAGAATGAAAGAGTTGGGCTGATGCATGATTTTTCCAGCCTTTTTCTTTTCATCATGAATTCTTTATGTAAATAAAATCCTTCTTCGAAGGCCAGACTATAAAACAGAGGACTGCAGAACTGTCCTTCTTGAAATTGGGGGTAGGGGCTGGAGGTATACCGGTTCCATTCCCTACAGTCACCCCAAGACCTGGTGAAACCAGCAGGAAGCGTGGGTTCTGAGTCTGCGCCTTCTCTCCCACTCCCTGCAGGTGAAGATCTTTGAGGAGGATTTTCAACGGGAGCGAAGCGATCGAGAGCGCATGAATGAGGAGAAGGAAGAGCTGAAGAAGCAGGTGGAGAAACTGCAGGCCCAAGTCACCCTGTCGAACGCCCAGGTGAGAGCCACTGAGCCAAGGAAAGGGTACTTGGCCTGTCCTCCTGAGGATGAGGCCGGGACATGCAACCACTGGTTCTCCATCCGGCTCTGCTGCCAGAGCACTGTGTGATCGGGACAAGCCCTCTCTTCTCTGACCCTACAGTGATGAGCTTTGACACCATTGCTTTAAGATGCCTTCTGACTGGGACAGTCTGTAATCAATGTTGATGTCTTAAAAGAACAATTTAGGAGTTTGCCCACAGCTACTCACAATGTCTCCCACAACTCAAGTATGGTAGCAGTGAGCCCTGCTGACCTGTGGTCAGATCACCCAGGTCTTCCATGGGGCTGAGCACCCTCTCTGGCTAGGCCCTGTGCCAACAGTCTCCTCCTCCTCCCTCCTCTCAGATAAAAGCTTTGAAAGACGAGGAGAAGGTGAAAGAAGCCCTCAAACAGCAGAAGAGAAAAGCGAAGGTGAGGCTTGAGGGACAAAGCAGCACTTACCTCGTCTTACTCTCCTCAGAGAGCTACGGTCTGACAGGAGAAATAGCATTTACTCAGGTGTCCTCCCCTCTGTCCCACCTGACTAATGAGTTCTTAGTACAGGTACGGTACCTAGGACAGGACTTGGTGCAGAGTAAGTGCTCAGGACATGCTGACTGCTGTCCTTGTTGATATTCTTTGCCCGTGGACCAGCCTTCCCTTCCCTTCCCATGTACCAGGCTTCTGTGCCCTCATACCGACCCTGTTCTCTGTACCGATGTACCAACCTTCATAGAACTGAGGTTCTAAATAGAGGGAGTTGGCATGGGTGTCCCCAGAGATGGCCTGTGCGAACTAGAGTTAGACCTTGGCCTTTTTTGCAGTCCTCCGGAGAGCGTTACCATGTGGAGCCCCACCCAGATCACCTCTGTGGAGCCTACGCCTACGCCTACCCACCCATGCCAGCCATGGTGCCTCACCATGGCTTCGAAGACTGGTCCCAGATCCGCTACCCTCCACCCCCCATGGCCATGGAGCACCCACCTCCACACCCCAACTCACGCTTCTTCCGCATGGTGAGTCTCTGTCCCCTTCAGTGCAGCCCACAAAGAGACCATTGCAGGTCCTTTTCCAAGGGATGGGCACATATGTGACAGGTCTGAAACTGCATTCTCAGTGCCTTCCTGCAGAGCACTGGTGTGTGGACAGATGGCCATCCAGGGGCCAGGGTGCTCCAGCCCAGAGCCTGTCAGGATTATTGTCCCTCCTGTGTGAGGGACAGAAAAGACCCAGTACAGAATAGGACAACTTCCTAGGGTTTGACTTTTTCTTAAAACCTTCACATGTAAGAGGTGCCCGTCCTCACCATTCTTTCCCTTTTTTGCCTCCCCCCTCCTACCCTCTTCCATTTTCTTCATTTTCCTTCTCTTTCCCTTTCTTATGACCATCCTCCTGCGAACCTGCCCCCTGCTCTCCAGCCTGTCTGCCACAACCCCACCTCAGTATTCCCCAGCTCTCACCTGGTCTCCTTCCCACGTTCTCCCATGTAACCATCCTTTACACACATCTTCTTTCAACATCAGAGCACAGTGTGGTGCCTAAGAAACTGGCTCTGGGCTTCGGGAGAAAGCCAAATCCACTCCTTGCCACTTTACTAGCTATATGACCATCAGCAAGTCAGTGGAACCACCCCTCACCCCCCACCCTGGTCCTCGTTTACTCACCTGTAAATGAAGATGGTAAGTGGGTTGTTGTAAGAATGACCCTTAAGTACAGCAGAGGGTCCTGCCCCGTTTTCATGATCTGGCCGGCTTGAGTCCAGTGCTGTAGCCACTGTGTGGTTTGAGTACCTTCCAACTTAAGCACCACGTCTTCCAGCACTATATCCGACAATACTCTCTTGTGAGCCAAGGGATGCTCATTGGCTCAGTTTTGGAATAGATCAACAGGCCTTTCTCCTCTAAGTTTTTCTTAGTCTGGAAGCTCTCCTGGGTGGCCTTGCTGGTATTTGAAATACCAGTGGCGCAGAGCTCCCAGCTTCACAACATACTGCCACCACATCATAGCAGATGGGAGTTATACTGGCTAATGTCCACTCAGTACTATCTTTGCACGGTAGCCGCTGCTGTGATTTTCCAGTGCAGGTGTTGATTACTAAACACCAACTGTGTTCCAGCCGGAGTACACCTGGCGTTCACCACATGGAGGGATACGGAATCAGAGCTCCCAGGTGATGGACGTGCCCGCAGCCAGGTCTGCTGAGCCCGGTGAGAGCTTGCGTCCCTGAATTTTGGCTTGTCCTGAACTAACTTATCTTTCAGGTCCCTCTTTGGGAGTGATTTTGCTAATTTCTGATCTTAGTAATGGGGGTAGGCTCAGCTTTCTGAAGTCCTGTTGAAAGGCTAGTGATGGAGACTGGGTGAGGGAGGTGAGGGGATTTGAACCATCCATTCATTTGCTCATCATAGTTTATTGTCTAAATGTCAGACCCTGCATTAGGTACTTCTTGTTGTTAGATGCCGTCAAGTTGGTTCTGACTCTTAGTGACCCAGTGTAGGGTTTCCAGAGAGCCGCTGGTGGGTTTGAACCACCAACCTTGCAGTTAGCAGTCCAGTGCTTATCCTACAGGACACCACATATGAGCAGAAACATTTCTGCTGATATGTGGTAACTTGTAGGCACCCCTATGGCACCTAACAACAACAAGGTACCCCTATGGAGCTGTCTCCTGAGAGGGACAGAGTTGAATACAAAACCACCACACACGTGAGTAAGTGCCCTAAGGGAAGAATAGTGGGTACTTACAGATGAGAAGAGATCACAAAGGGGCTTGACCTAGACTGGGGCTAAGGAAAGCTTCTGAGAGGCAGTGATGCATGAGCCAAGACCCCTAGAACGAGTGGCATTGAACTAGCTGAAGAGATCCTAGTGGAGGGCAGGTTTTTTGGAGGAAATAGCTGACTTGAGGACCTGAGAGTCCAGTGTGGATGGACAGAGAACTAGGTGGGGAAGGAGAGGTTAGAGAGGCCTCAGGTCAGGCTCTCCAGGGCCTTATAGGGCTGGGAATGATGTGGTGTCTTTGAAGGCCTTAAATGACCAGATGTGCATTGTGAAAAGCTTCCACTGACCAAAGAGTAGTCCATAAGAGGTTAAGGGTGTGTTCTTTAGTCAAGAAGAGACCCCAGACTCCGAAAGGCTCTTAGGGACAGAAGGCACTGTCTTGCCTGTGGGGCTTTTGGGAGCAGAATCACAACTAGTGGGTAGGAGCTGCAGACAGACGTAGTGTATCTTAGCAGGAAGAGAGACACCCTGAGAGCCCCAGGAGTACAAAAATGGAGCTAGCTCTGCCAGGAGGTAGCACATATCGGCAAAGGCTGTACAACGACGTGGAAAGAACATACTCTGGAGGATTTCATGAGTCTGGAAGGACAGATCACTGTGATTTGCTATTTTCTAATTCTTCCCCACATATCCCAGAGGTTCTTTGGAACCTCGGGAAAGCTGCTTTGATTAAAGGGGAGAGGATGACTACCTTAGAGTTCTCTAGAGAAACAGAACCAGTGATAGATATATGAGGTGTGTATATAGATATATATGTTGTTTTTGTTATTGTTGAGTGCCATCGAGTCAGTTCTGACTCATAGCCACCCTGTATAGGGTTTCAGAGGAGCAGCTAGTGCATTTGAACCACTGACTTTGCGGTTCTGACTGACCTTGTGATCCAGTGCTTATCCTACAGTGCCACACCAGATACATAGAGAGAGATTGCTCTACTTCAAGGAATTGGCTTATGCAGTTGTAGAGGCCTAGCAAGGCTAAGATTTATAGCTTACTTAGGTAATGCTGAAGGCTCCTGTAGGCTTGTTCTAAGATCCCAAGATCAGGAGACAGGAAAAGTATGAAGAAACGGTCTGCCAAAATATCTATTTATATTCTGGAGGCAAAACATACTCTAGGGAAATATTCCTTTTCACTGATTGATTGATTGATTCTCTGACATTAATTAGTTCATGGAAAGTGCCTGCAGTACATTTACCATTAGATTACATTGTGAAACAGCACTTAGTCCTCGTGTTTGTCAAACAGCTACGAACTAGAGCCTAGGCAAGTTGACACGGAAACTTAACCACCACAGTGGCCAGGGCTCTTTGTCCCCTCCTCCCAGACCTGCTCCACTTCTGGGGTCTTGAGCCAGACTGACCGCCACTTCCTATTTGCGTGACTGAGCCCCAGTTGACTCCTATATAAATGGATAATACTCCCACTTCACAGGGCTGGGCAGGGATTAAAGGATGAATGTATATCAGTGCCTTATGTCCACCTGGCCTTGCCTTGGTGATGCTTACTAAATTCTGGTTCTTTACACCGTTACTGTATTGGTGTCCATATAAGATTTTGAAACTAACGGTACTGTATAACCTTTAAATCCTGCTCAAATATTTTGTTCATCTAGAGTCTACAAAAAATGACCGCGAGGGATCTCAGTGAAGCCAGAGTGTGTCACTTGGCTCCAGCGTCATCTTTCAGAACTGGCTGACTTCAGATCACTGAAAACCTAGAGGCCACACACTCTGTGCAACCAGAGCCTTGGCTCAATGGGCAGCTGGGATGAGGGTCAGCTCGTGCCCAACTCCAATCTGAACAGTTTATAGACATGAAAGGCTCCACTCAGGGGCTCCATTTGGATGGACACTTGGAAGAACTGCCTCCCCTGCCTCTGCGTGGAGAGATGAGGTCTGGTCTGGTGTAGACCTGCCGTCCTTTGTTTACACCTCCAAGGGAATCAATTTCAAGAGTGGGGTACAGCCACCATCCCATCCTTTCAAAACGTTTCCTTTCCTGAGTGCCTCCAGCCCCTCCAGTTCATGTCTGTTTCAGTTTTGCTTCATGTTCTATAGCAGGACACTGTCTTGTGCTCACCCGTTCCCCTCTGTGAGGAGCAGGTTTGCCTCCAGGAGCTGAAGAGAATAACGGGATGTTCCGACGCTGGGATCCATCCCCAGCCACATCTGCCGAGGCTCTAGCCTGAAGTCTCCAGGCCCTGATGTTCAGTCTTAGGTCCTGCAGCTGGAGGCTTATGATGCCTGGGGGCCCCTATTGGGGTGACTGTGTATCCCTGGGCAGCTGTTTGCACAATATTGTTGAACTTAAATACAGTTGAAGATTAACATTCTGTGACTGGTGCTCTTTTATGCCCTAACATCCCAGATAATCCAAGTCCTGTTTTACTGGCCCCTTTCCTCTGTGTCCCACCCCCTTCCCTGGAGAAGGTCACTATTACTCTAAGCTGACATCCCACTTTGGCCCTATTCACAGTCACCTTGAGGGTGGGGCACCTACAGCAGTGGAAAGACCCTTGGACTCTGGGAGTCAGGGGCCTGGGTTTAAGTTCCAGTCCTGACCCTCATTCATTGGGAGACTCTGGGCAAGGCCTAGTCCTTCTATGCATCTAGGTTTCTACATCTCGTTAAATGGAGCTCTGACTTCAGTTCCAGCCACCTTGGAGAATGGTCAGAAAGAATTAAGAGTAGATTTGAACTGGATTTATAAACTCCCAAGAGCTGAGGGGGACTTACGGTGTAGCACTGTAGGATCAGCACTGGACTGCAAACTGCAAGGTCGGCAGTTCAAACCCACCAGCTACTTCTTGGAAACCCTATCTATATAGAGTTGCTTTGAGTCGGACTCAATTCGACGTCACTTTAACAACAAATGCTGAGTGAGAAGCTGAGCAGGCCTAGGTAGAAACCCTTAGCACCCCTTCCTTCTCCCTTCCTCTTGTTCCTTTCCCCATGACTGGGGCAGCCACCATAGATAAAGAACCACAGTAGATTCAGCTGCTGCAGAAAGGCCTTTACTGGGCATGATTCTAGGGCCAATGGACCAGGGTGAGGGATTGGGTACGTGCTCCGAAGGAGCAGGATTGGCATCCCTGTCTGGGGCCTTGCCTGAATGCACTAAAGGCTGGCCCGTGGGACAGGCTCAAGGGAGGTCCGCCACAGGGGCTTCGGACCCCACCCTCATGGAGATGCCACCCCTGACTCGGGGACGTAATCCTTGCTCTCACTTCTGTCTTGGTTGGTGTCAGGGAGTACTACGGGGTAGGAGCAGGAGCTTGGGAAGGCCCTTCAGGAAGGAGAAGGAACTGGGTCAAAACATGCCTGTGTGATGACAGGTGCGGTGGGCAGTGTGGTAGAACCAGAGACTTTTGGAGACCCTAGTAGGGTGGTATTTGGAGGCAGTGGTAGATACTAGCTTCAAAGTTATGGTCTAGGTTAGGGCAGGCCAACCAGACTTCAGAGCTCCTTTGGGCTCAGGTCAAAGTGAATGGTTATGCTTGGAGCAGGGAACTCAAATAAAAAAAAGGAGCATTGTTTCCCAGGACTCTACCAAGCACACAGCTGTGGGCACACACATGGTACACATTCCTGGATACTCATTCAGGTCATGTGCATACCTGTGTGTCAGGTAGGGCCTCATGTACTAGGAGGGGTTGTGGTGGGTGTGTAGTGTGGTTGAGATGGAGTCCTTCCTGAACAGAGCCCCCTCAAGCCCCAGCATGGTGGATATGGTGTGGGTTGGGCAGCAGTTACTTCCTCCTGGCCCCCAGGGCCTCCTGCTGCCTTATGTGGTTCATAATGTGTGTCTTGACGGTGCTAACTGTGGTCCGGTGGTACCAGCGCATGATGGGGAGACCGTCTGGTCCTACCAGGAACTTCTCAAAGTTCCAGCGGATGTCATGGATCTTCAGGGGTTCCCAGAAGAGGCGGCCAGGTGAGCCCATGAGCTCTGAGGTGGGCGGACAGGAGTTCTGGAGCAGGAATGAGAGGGTGGTGTCAACCCTGATTAGGGTGGATGGGGGGGGCCTTCCCACTCTCCTCCCAGGCCACCTCTGGGGGTTGGGACAGAAGAGTCTGGCACTGGGCAAAGAGCACCTGTTAGAAGTCTGCGAGGGTGACGTGGGCCTGGACTTCCCAGGGGCTCCTACACAGCGCTGCTCACTCACCTTCAGGAAAGTGTAGAACTTCTGTTCTTTCTCCCCGTTCACATCCCCTTTCTCAAAGAGCTGGAAATTGGGGACAAAGCCTCCACCTGGGCGGACATGCCTGTGAGGAATATTCTTATGTGGGTCCCAGGGATGAGGATTTAAGGACAAGAGGGTCTTTGGGCTTTATTCCTTAGGAGGAGACATGAGAGCTACTGAACGTTGAGTAGGCATAGGCATACTGTGTGCTCTGTAGTCTTTCTAGCTTGGTCCCTTGTCAGCACCTCCCATCTCTCACCCCATACCCCCTGGGCCCCATCCCACTTTATAACCAGTCACCCCTATTTCTCTGTCTCCCCTGTCTCCTCCTCTTTCCTCACTCCACTGAACTAGGTTCCTAGAAGGGAAGAGTAGCTCTTGGTGGCTGACAAATGTCCATCATACAGAGGGTCAACAGAAGAGCTGCCTGAGGCTGGGGTGGTGGGGGGACAGGGTGGGCTGTCCTGGAGTAGCTTTCCCAGGACTCAGGGTGAACACTCACTTGAGGGTGGCTAGGATCTCTGAGTTCTCTCCTGGTTCCTGTTTTCCAAATTGGTTGCTGGGGAAGCCCAGAACGACCAGACCAAGCGGTTTAAGCTCTTCCTGTAGTGCATTCAGTTCTATGCCAGAGAGAAAGGGCAGAGATGGGGGCAGACTGGCAATGAGCCCGGCCTCATCCACACCACTGCACCCGCTAGCCAGCTGAGAACACTAAGACCCAGTGAGGGGAAGGGACTTGCCCAAGATCTCCCAGTGAGCTCATGAGGGAGCTGGAATTCGCATTCTGTCCTCACTCCAATCTGAATAAACTAGAGATTGAAGAAAAGAGAGGAAGATCCATCCTCAAATAACAGAGCCACCCACCACTGCCAAGGCCCAACACCTGGGCCAGTGGGTTCAGAGGCCCATGCCTGCTATGCCCAGCTTAACCCATACTCTCAGAATTTCGTTTCCTTCAGTGGGAGCTATCACTCCCTGGGCAAAAGGCAGAGGACTTCCTTGGTGTGGAGTGGGATCCTCCCAATATTCCCATGCCCTTTGGGAACTCAGGACCCTAAGGACAACCATGCCCTCTCCCTCCCACTTCCTCAGGACATTCTTGTGCAATGCCAGCTCCCAGCCCATCTCTTGCATAAACACTGCTCTATGCCAAGGGCTGGACAGAAGCATTCTGTCCCAGGACACTTAATGACCTCTCTGCCCTGCAGCCTGGCTGCTAATCCACTTCCAGGAATTGTACCTTCTATTGCCAGCTGATGGTTCAGGGTGAGGTTGCCCCTACCTCTCCTGCCAGCCAACCCACATCAGCCTGTAGACTGTGCTCAGCCCAAAGCCTTGCCTTAGGAATGCTGTCAAATGCCTTCAGCCTGCCTGTTCCCTAATACCTTTAACTCTGTCCTGGCTGTGGTCTACTGACCTGGGTATCCCAGGGTATACCACCAGGACCCCTCACTTAGAATAGCCTTGGAAAACATTACTTACCCTCCCTCCTCTCACTCTTAATCTTCCCCCTTCACACACACACCCTGGGGCCTCCAGCCCATTGTATGCTTCCCAGATAGGGCCAGCAGAAGCCCCATGGCAGGTGGGCAGAAGAAAGATAAATTCTCAGCAAAATGGAGCTTCATTGATCAATTTTTACTCCAGCCAAAGGAAGCTTTAGGCACCAACCCAATTTCCTTACCTTTTGCTTTTAGGGTAGCTGAGCTAACCAGGAAAGAGGATTAATTGAGAATCTTCTTCAGTATATCTTGAATATGTCTCAGGCTTAATCATTTTCATAAAACTATGGAATGCAGGGTTTGGAATTTTATGATCACTCTTACCCCTTCCTTTTTGACAGCAGAAAAACTCATGTGATGGTAATATGCCCAATTGGCACACAAAAAAAGTCTCAAATGAAGCTGGAGACGAAGAGTAGATTCTTACCAACATATTGGCCTGTCAGGCCTCAGTAGCTGGCCACGTTGACAAACAGGATGTATTTGCCAGCATACTGCTTAAAGGGGATATACTCTTCCCCATCGATGGTGAGGGCTCCATAATCATAGATGGTACCGCTCATGCCACCATGACAGTCGGTCTGAAAGAGATCAGAGCCGGTGAATGGTTAGAGCTGGAAGGGAACTTGGACATCTCCATTTCCAACATAAAAGACTCCAACAGAGAAAGCAACTTACTCCTAATTCCTCATACACAGTAATGATTATAAAATTATAATGAAGAATTAATGCAATAATTACTTCCACATCACACTGTCAATTTACAAATCTTTTACTAAGTGACTGGGTTGTTGGGTGAGCTGGGCTCGTAGAGACTGGTTGGGTGGCAATCATCCAGGCAAATGATGAGGAAGGCCTGAACTAGGCCACTATGAAGGGAGAATTGAGCAAAAGGAAGGAGCAGTATGGTAAATGGTGATTCCGAGGTTACAAATCTGGAGGATTGGAAAGATGAGGCTGCTATTATAAACAAGGGAAGTAGGATGGCAGCTAGGTAGCGAAAGGATGCAGTGAGGATTAAATGTGACTATCAGGGTATAGCATCAGTGCCTGGGCAGCTGTTCAAATGACTATTGTATCTGCCCAACTGCTCATCCAGAGTCAACCTCAGATCAAGGGGAACAGTCTGCAGTCAACCATGAGTTGGAAAAGCTAGGTTCCTCTTTCAGCTCTGCCACCAACTCCTTGTGTGGTCTTGGGCAAGTCCTTTCCCTTCTCCAGATCTTGGTTTCCTCATTTATAAAGTGAAAACCATGAACTGGATCAGCTATTCTCAATCACATTGGCTTGACAATGTCATTCTCAAAAGGGCATGGAGGGACTAGGATTGCCGCTGGCAAGTGGGAGACTGCACATGCTCCATTGCATTTCTCATCTCTGCAACAGATGACAACGATCTGGGTCTACTCCAGAAAGGGCCTGAGCACCCCTCAGCAGGTGGCTTGTGGTGGGAAAGGACAATGTTCTATTAGGTGATCTCCACAGTCCTTCCTGGCTCTGATAGCCTATGAGAGATGTACAGACAATGAACAGTCCAAAGTAGTGTTATCAGCCAGGGGAGAACAGTAGCAGGGAGTTTCAGTGAGAGAAGCAGTTTACTCCATCTCTTCCCATCAATCCTCCCCTTACTTCCCGGTATGTTGAGGTACTTGAACCTAACTGGGTGCAGGGAGTGATCTAGGCGTGGCTACGCTGGGCTCCCTCCACCAGTCTTGACACAGAGCTACAAGCCCTCTTGTGGGTTCTGATGCAAATTCTGGTGCTTTACATGAGTCTAGTTTTCCACACCCACTTGACTTTTGGTTTATGCTGGAAGCAGGCCCCAACCAAGCTCAATACTCCTTCTGCTCCCAGGACCTCTTAGGATACAGCTGAGGCCAATTCTGCCTCAAAATGCAAACAAAGCAGCACAAAATAAACACATCTCAGCTGGCTGCAGAGATGTGGCAGCCAGAATGGAGGGCTCCCTACTTGCCTGCCCTCTTCCTTTAATTCCCCTGATCCAAAAATGAACTCCGGGAAATGGAGAGAAAAATAGCCAAGAGGTTGTCTAAATAATCAAAACTTGTAAACACAGGAAGATCAGCTTCTGAGCACAGTGTTAGGGTGGGCCATTCATAGGAGGTTTAAGCTCTTGTCTTTGCTGATTGTGTGGTCCTGGTGAGTCTCTTTCTCTCTGGGGCTCAGTCTACTGACAGATGAAGATGTTTTCACCTGCCTCCCATAGAGTTGTGAGACTCTACTGACAGATGAATAAGGAGCTCTGGTAGCATAGTGGTTATGAATTGGGCTGCGAACCTCAAGGTCAGCAGTTCGAAACTACCAGTGGTTTCATGGGTGAAAGAGGAGGCTTTCTGCTCTCATAAAGATTTACAGCCTTGGAAACCCTATGCAGGGTCACTATGAGTCAGATCCAACTCCATGGCACACAACCATCAACAAATGAAAACAGGCTCGAAAACCTCTTTGAAAGTTCCATGAAGCAAGGAATGATTCTGTCTGTAGCTAGAGTCCAGGGCCCTGATGTTCCTACATCATTGTAAAGAGGCCTGTGATGTCCCCTCAGTATGATGATGAAGACACACTGGGCAAGGGTATTTGGTAAAGCGTTCATGCTTTCTATTGGGGCCAATGAGCCTAACACTGTGGGGGTCAGATGGTGGCTTCCTGTCACTCATGGCCTGGGCACACCACTAAGCATGTAGCTCAGTCCTTAAGTGAGTCCCCTTTTCTACCTCTGAACTACTAGACACAGAGGGGAGAGGAAGCAAGCATGCCTCAATCCCCGACAGTTGGACAAGCGGGAAAAGTTCTGGTGGCTTGAAGGTTGGAGGGTGAGAATCAGGCAGGACCCCGTGGCCTGGGTTGCTGGTCTTGAACCTTTTTCCTCCCTCCTACCACCTCACTGATGAGATGTTTTAAAAGGAGATCTGGTCTAGGAGGTAGGGGCCTGAGTCCTGGGCCTGGCAGTACTAGTGACTCTGTCTAACCACTCCTGTTCCTTCTCTGTGGCTCAGTCTCCTTGATTGTAAGATAAAGTCAGAGTCAATACTATCAGAAGCGTCCTTCAGCACTGTCAGCCGGTGGTCCTGTGATCCTCTCTGCCTGGTTTTATCACCTAGAAACCAGCGGTTACTAGGAGCCCATGCACGTACGTCACCAGCTGTTACTCTCTAGCTTCTGCAATGTTCTTTTGTAGACCAAAGATGGGGGGGGGGGGGTGGGGAGGGGGATAAGCAGGCCTCAGCTGGACTAGGGAGGGAGCAACGGAAGAAAAACGATTCTCTGTGAACCAGAAGGGAGACAGACATCCCTCCATGGCTGCGTCACCTTTTGCCCATGGAGTTCTCTACGTGCTGCCTGCCCCCAAACCCATCCCTTTGCCCTGTGGTTAAGGGCAGGAAAGTGGCTGGGTCCTAGAACCCACGGATAGGCTATCGCAACTTTCTAAGGACTTGGAAAAGAGGCAGGCTTTCCTAGGTTATATTAACCAGCAAATCTCCCCCTTTCACAAAAACTTTTCTAGATCCTGCCTTTTCTAAATTCAGTGATCTCTTCCCAGAGTCCTGCAGGAAACTCATGGCTATGATGAACTATTCATAAGACCAAGGTTCTTACACCTCCAGCCTTCTTGAGGTAAGGCTCAAATCATCCCTCCTCTGGTTCACTCCAAACGGAAGAAACAGAACTGGCTTCAGAGTGCTGGATGCCCAAAGTACCCCCACCCCACCTCTACCCCACATCTTAATCTTAAAACTCAGTCCCATCCCTGCCCTATGGAAAAAGTGACTCAAGTTTCTTCTGAGCTGCAAGTAGGAGCAGGGCTGGATAAGAAAGAGGAAGATTGGAGGAAGTGACTCCTCAATTATCCAGTCTCTAGCTTGACTCCAAGCAGAGGCATACAGAATGGGTCTCAGAATGAGGACAAAATAGGGGGGTAGAAACATGGAAAAAATCATATGCTGGCAATGGGTTTCTTGAGCAGTGAGTCGAATTTTGTGTTGCAGAATCATGAACTCAAAATCTTATAATAAAGACCAAGAACGTTATAGAAACAGAACCTCAAAGCTTGAGGTGCTTACATGTGTGGGCTGTGGAGTATGTGCATGTATGTGTGTGTTAGGAAGTTGGGGACAGAGTCCCTCTCCTGTATATATCCCTCCCCCGGCTGCTGGGAGGGGAATGAGGAAAGGTCTAAACAGACCTACTCCAGTGTATACTGGCTAAAGAGATAAGCATACTGGGGTCATTTTCTTTCCTTACCAGCGTAGCCACTTCAGCTAAGGGTTACACCTTGCCGAAAGGACTGAATGAAGCCTGGGAGTATTCAGTCTCCCGTCCAAGCTAGCAGTCCCCAGGTGTCTCCAATTGCCAGGTCTGCTCGGGCTAATGTGGGCAATGGGTGGGTGGTGGGTAATGAGACTGCTCAGAGAACCCTTCAGAAAACAGGCTGTGAATTTTTCAGCTTCTCCCACCATTTCCTCTAAAGCCTTCCGCTTCCTGTGCACTACCCCACCCCTTCTGCAGAAGGAAAAAACTGAGGTCTGTTAAAGGGTAGAGTCCTGGGGGTTCTACACGGCCAGCGCAGAGGGCTTTTTCTGTTTTACTAGCACCCTGAAATCCAAGTGAACATTTGCACCTGCGTTTATTATTCCTGGACTAGAAGCGCCTCCATCGCAATTCTACCCAACTGCGTTCTCCCTCTCCTTTAGCATAGCAGTGTTCCTAGGTACCTGGGTGGCAACCTAGACGCCACGTCTCCACGCCTTTTTCTGTGCCCCGCCCCACCCTCCCACCCCCCGTGAGGGGAGCACCTAGGGTCCAACCGTGGCATGGATACATCAAGGCGCCCCCAAGTAACCGTGGGCGAGAAAGCACCAATTCTCCCCTATCCATTCCGCCTACCAGAAAGACCCTAGTCTCCAAGAGATGGAACTGCGAAGAGACCCACAGTTAGGGGTTGGGGATCCCGGGGTAGACAAGCAGAACTGAGAGTGCTCTTGTCCTTTTGGAGAGGAGCCCGGGAAGAGAGGGCGCCTCGCCTTGGCGAGATGGACACCTAAGGGCTCTATATTCGTTCTCCCGGTACTCCCTCCGAACACTTACTAACCTTCGACTTCTCCTGTCCCCGGCTCGGCGGGACGAAGCCCGCCAGGAGCAGGGAGAGCAGGCAGGATGCCCGAAGCAGCCGGGCCATGGCGAGCTGGGGGCGCGTCTCCGGTGAGCCTGAGACGCTATCGGATCCCAGGCCACCGTCCGTCTGAGGTCTCCACCGCTCTCAGCCACCTTTCAAGCCCAAAGTGTTGGCCAATCCACGGCCAGGCAGGAGTCCTTGTAACCAATCGCAAGGACGCTGGGATTTCAGGGGCGGGCATAACTCACCCTTCGTTTCTCTCCCTTCCCAGGCCCAGGGCGACAGTGACATAAGCAAGTCTGGGCAGAGAGAGATGGGTGTCAGGCCCTTGAGAATATGTGAGGCTACCCCTTTCTTTCTCTTTTTGAGTTTAAAAGGTGAAGGGAAGCAAGGAGTTGAATTATACCGAAGAACTGATGGAAGGCTTGATTCTGATTGTAGTTGAAGTGCCATCTAGTCATTTCGGACTCATGTCGTTGTCATGTGCCATAGAGTCGGTTCCGACTCATAGCGACCCTGTACAGGGTTTCCGAGGCTGTAAATCTTTATGGGAGCAGAAAGCCTCATCTTTCTCCCACGGAGCAGCTGGTAGTTTCGAACTGCTGATTGTGAGATTAGCAGCCCGAGTCGTAACCACTACGCTACCAGAGTTCCTTAGATTCACTGTATTAGAATCTCTGGGAGCAGAACTTGAAAATCTACTTCAGATAAGTTCCAAAGGTGATTCTGAACAGCCAGCGGGGCTCAATCTTGGTGACAGGAGTCCCAGGATTAGGTATCCTCTTGGAATCTGACACAGAAGTGTCTTGAGATACCATGCTTTTAATAAAATGTTTTAAAATACTACAGAGTATGTACTCAATAAATGCCATCTAGTCCAATTAATCACCTCATGTCACTGCATCCTAAAGTCCAAATTCTTTGCTAGAGACAAGAAGGACTCAGAGGTCTGAGTCAGTGACTTGCTGTGAGTGAAGTCTTCTCTGCACCTTGGTTGGTCCATCTACAAAACAAAGGTTTTTTTTCTGGCTTTGTCGTTCCAAAGATCTAAGGAAGGACTGTGCTGCAGAATACTCAGGACTACCTGACTACACCTCACCACCATCACCATCTGACTGCATGGACAGTGGGGCTGGGGGTGCTGGGGATCATGAAATGGTGTTGAGGGTGCTGCAGTCCACTGACAAGGAGGCATGAGCACTGGAGAAAAGAACACAAAGACAATGGAAACAGTACTGTATTTCCCAATCTCTCACCATCTGCCTTTCTAGTGCTTTTGGTTAAATTGTTCTCAGGGATCCTATAGTTTGAAAGATGCTGTTCTCCACCTACCTGTTTCCTCTTGCCCTGAGAATAAAGTCCAAATTCCTTAGTGCTTCAGACAATGCCCTCAAAATCCAGCCCTTTCCTCCCCTTTGGCTACACTCCCTCTTGTTTTCTCTCCAATGAGCTCTGCTGGCCTTTTTATCTCTTTTGCCAACATGCCATTCACTTTCACCTTCAGGTTTTACCTATCCTCTTCCCTCGAACTGGAAGACTCCACATTCTCTCCCTATAACTGGTTCTCACCAACTCATTTGTTATTCTTCAACTTCAATGTCATTTCTTCAGGACAGAGTTGTGTTTAGGTCCCCTTGCTTTTTGTAGCTTCTAGAGTATTTGACACCTTAACAGCAACAAAAACAACATTAAGCATTAAACCCAAACCAAATCCATTGCTGTCAAGTTAATTCTAACTCAGAGCAACCCTAAAGGACAAAATAGCTGCCCATAAGGTTTCCAAGGAAATAATCTCCTTCCCAAATAGCAGTTGGTGAGTTCAAACCACCAACTTTTTGATCATCAGCCAAATGTTTAACCATGGTGCCATCAAGACTCCTCATTAAACCTTAGTTGTACTTTCTCATCATTTCTTTTCTTTAAAAAAAAAAAACCAAAACCTTTTTATTGTGGACTGAGTGAAGGTTTATAGACAAGATCATCAGTTTTATATTCAACAAATCACACACTTTGCTTCATCTCAACAATTGCAATCCCCTCCATCTCACCTCTTGTTCGTCTGTTTTCCACAAAGACTTCATTCTTGACACCAAACATAGGGCTTAATTCATAGCTCAATAAATACCTGTCAAGTAAATGAATGTCTAATAGAACATTACTTGGAATATAGAATAAGCAGATTCAGGTCAGAACATGCTAAAATTTTGAGCCCAAACAAGTCATCTGATTCCAGCTGCTAGTAAGACTGCAGATGTAAGTGACATTGAGTGAGCTTGTTAGACATGAACAGCTGATTTGGGCCTCAGGAGGGATGGTGTGGAAACAGAAGCTTTTTAGGGACCATAAGCTGGTTTTGCTTCCAGTAGGCCTTCTACCTGTCAAATGAACAGACAGTATCTCTCCCCCTCTTTCTTTTGAGACATGCTTGTATATGGGAAGGTCATCACTTATTTGCTCGATGGGACTGCTTATTTGCTAAGTGGGACTACTGATTAAAAGAGAGTCTTAAAAAAAAGTGTTGACACTGTATCTTTGGAGCAAGATAGAACATTGGTTAATAAACTGAAAATAAAGCAAGGGAAATCAGCCTAGTATTACTGAGCATGTGATTCAGGAGCTGGTCAACCAATCCAACTGAGCTGGGTTCTCTAGTTGGAATTCCAATGTGGAGTGATTCATCCTTCCAGCAACAACCTGTGCTGATTCTCTTCCTTTGGAAGCACCAGGGTGGGCAAGTCCTAGAGGGGCATGGGACCTGTAGGGGCAAGAAGATGCCTAATGCTTCTTCTGTTGTGTGGGACCCAATGGGGCAGCAGAGAAAAGGCTCAACCCCCATAATTTCAGTGCCAACTCAAATAGCGGCCCCATTTTGCAATTAAGAAGAGATTGCAAAACTTAAGTGGAGGAGGCCCTGGAACTGCTGGTTTTCACAATAATTGGCAGATCCAACTTCAACTCCATAGGGAATGCATCAAGAGGAGAGGTGTCTGGAGTTTCGCTTCTGAAGCTAGTGTTTTTGAAATTCTGAACCTCATCTATAGAATAAGGAGTTAGACTAATTGATCTCTAATGGCACCAAACATCTATGAACTCCAGGTCTAGCCCTAGGTTTATTGATGCCTTAAAACAACTCCGGCAACTTACAGGTACTTAATATTATTGTCCCCATCCTATGAATACACAAAGAGGTTGCAGTCAGTGAGTGACAGATCAGAACTCTAACTTGGATGACCTGTCTCTGAGCCCTTGATATTAACCTCTAAGTCTGTGCCGTCCGACATGGCAGCCACTAGCCATATGTGGTTAGTGAGCATTTGGAATGTGGCTGGTAGAATTGAGAAGTGCTGAGAGTTTAAAAATCCACACAAGTTTTTGAAGACTTAATATGTGTGATGGTGGACATTGTGTGTCAACTTGGTTGGACCATGATTCTCTGGTTTGGCAGTTATGTAATGGTGGTGTTGTTGTTAAGTGCTAT